CTTCTGCTGTATTATATGGAACCTGATGCTTCTTTAATCTTAATTAATTCTTTTTAATTCTTTTTAATTAAAAGTGCATAGCAATGATGCGGTTACATTCCTGTCAGATGTTTTGAAAATATATCTTTCCATTAATTCTTTCATTCAATTAACTCTTTTTAATTCTTTTAATTGAAAGTGCGTAGCAACGATGCGGTAACATTCCTGCCAGATATTTTGAAAAGATATCTTTCCATTAATGTCAAAATATCTTTCTTTTCAAATAAACTTATTTATGAATATTGTTTTTTAAATTTAAATTTATATTAGTCACATGATCTCACCGTCTAATATCAAAAAGCAAAAGTTTCCATTACTATTATTTTCATAAATTTGTATCTCATTTTATGCAGATATAGAAAAAAAATATAAATTTAAAAATGTCCACGTATAGATGTAAAAAGGACAATATTTCTTTCTTCTGAAACAAACAGCTAATTTTCGGAAATGATTATATTATTTTTATTGAAATTTCTCCAGACAAAGGATACCGCTTTGCTTTTTCTCTTTCTTTCCTCTGATATTTAATATAATATAATATTTTAATTTTGTTTTAATTCTCTTGTTTTTTAAGCGCTTTCTGAACTTGGAGTTTAGCTTAAGTTTTATTGTATAATACGTGACTATCTCTGAAATTTCACACAATGAGCAATATTTATTCCGCAATTGTAACAGAAGCCCTTGAATCGATATCGAGTCCAGGACATGTCCTAGACTCTCAAAGAGGTATCGTTAATGAAGCGAAAAGAATCGGAAAACGTAGTGCGCGCGGCAAGGACGCTCGCTCCCACGAATTCAGAATGTAAAGCTGATCAGGCAAAGATATACGTTTTTATATCGGAGATTATTAATGCCGAGCCATCAACTCGTTTGTTTCGGCGATAAACAATGGCGAAGACGTGGAAGGCAAGGCCTTATGAAAATTTCTGCCGCAATACCTTTTTATTTCAAGGCTTGTCGATTTTTCATCGTCGAATACATTACTGTATACACAGTCTGGAATTTATTCTATGTGCCAAAGTGATCACGATATCAATTAATATAATAGCGATTTGAATGCGAAGTAATCTCGCGCGACAAGATTGTGCAAAATTCTAGAAATTATCCTAAACAAAGTATTCCAGTTATAAGTATTCAAGTTATACATTCCGATAGTTTTCAAATATTAGATATATAATATTACATATGTGAGAATGTAAATATTTCTAATAATAAATAGATGAATAATATATAACGTCAGTAATTTTTAGTACTGAAACAAGCTTTCAATTAATTCGGAATTATATTAATTATTATATTCTTTTACAGCGTCTTCCTCCCTCGGTTCGAAAACATTGAAAATTCTGAGAAGCACGAAGGTTGAAGAAGATCACGATTGTTCGGATCGATATATAAATTTGCGGCGATAAAGGACAGGACAACGAGGACGAGTCTCGGAACCAGGCGACCTAGGATCATGCTCGAATTTATCGGAGATCGCAGGAGCGCAATCGGATGCTGTCAATGAAGGAGGGGAAGTTTCATAAAAGATAACGCGTGTCGCTCACGGAGGTCAGTCGACAGTCGGGAGGAGATTGTGCATGCCTGTGGAGAACGCACGAACACTCGCACTGAAAGTTGCTCGGGTTCCTTAATTAAAACCGCAAGATCTTATTTCGCAAGAACGTGAAAGATTGGCAAATCGATATGCTGCGCCTGTAAGTATCCCGTTAATTGATTAGCATACTGTTTGTTTTCACCATAAAGATTAATACGAAGATCGATATAAAGATCGATAACGTCACGGAAATAAATATCGCACAAGATACAGAGGAAAAAATATGTGATGTGTTACAATGATTGATAACCTTAATTAAACATATTGTATATAATGTCATAGTAAAATATAGAAATAGATTGTACAATTGTGTTATATATATACATATATGTATGTTGTATATATTATTATACATATATAGTGTTTAAGTATACCGTGTTATATTTTTTTATATTAATCATATAGATCGTGATATTCTCTTCTTTAATGTAGAAAAACTAATGTCAATGTCCTTTTTGCAAAATGTTTATTTAATATCGCTTAATCATTTTGTGTTGCTAATTTCACGAAGTAAGGATGATTATCCACTTTCGATACACTTGTACGTGAGGTATCGTTGCCGGCATTTACGTCGAATATACCCGGATGCGTGGCGACAATCACTCACGGTCTAACGAGTTAATACGCCGGACGCGAGTGCTCTTCGCATCGTACTCCTGCACGTGACTTTGAAATCGCGCTGTTGTTTGACCTCGTCATTTAGTACCATATTGTATTTCATTCGAACAATCGCATCCGAAGATCAAGAAATATCGTTTTCCGGCTCAAACGAGGTAGTTTTGTACGTTTACATTCCGATCTCAACATTCGACATTCATAAAACTTTATATATGTAAACAAGAAACGCAAAACAGGAATTATTGAAAGAGAGAAAATGAAATTGATTGTGTATTCTTGAAATTGATTAATTTTTTAAATCTATTATATTAATATATGAGATTATTATATATAATTTGATTTATTATTAGTAAAAGTGAGATATCTCTCTCTCTCTCTCTCTTGCTACTGGTAGCATATATATTGATAAGATATAATATTGTAGTAAATATATATATATATATATGTATATATATCATGTAATAAACAGTAGCCGCGCAAAAAAATGTCATATCAAACTTCATATCACTGTAAGTTTTATGGAGTAATCAATTGCTTAGAGAGCGATAACTGATGTCCTTCGAGATGTTTAATATGCCATCTCCAAACTTGAGCTGAGAAACATTTCAAATTTTTTAAATTATTAACAGTTAAAAAATAATAACAAATATAATTAATTATTTGAGATTATTATATAATATAATGTATAACGATTATTAATATTATTAATACATCGCATATTATCGTGTTATTAGAATCTTGGTAGCGGCAGTCGTAAGTTTGACGGCGGCAAAGCCCACGGCAGAGGATCCGGTAGATCCCGTCGAAAGTCCACAGGCCGCCGCAGAGGCACTGCAGAACGCTCAGAATGTCCTGGAACGCATCGACGCGGAATACGCGAAATGGAGCAACAAGCAGAGCCTCGCTGGATGGAATTACGCGTCGAACCTGACGGACGAGAATCTGGCCGAGAAGTTGAACGTGTCCACGACGGCTGCGCGTGTCATGAAGCAGATCGCCGAAGAAGTAAACGCTTTTCCTTGGAGGGACTTAGAGGATGAAAATATTAAAAGACAATTCAACAAGCTCGGTATACTCGGCGTCGCCGCGCTTCCTGAAGATGTAAGAATATAAAATAAGAAAAATCTAAATCAATTATCTTTAATTTCTTATTATGAGAGCCTTTTGGGAAAAATTAAAGTGAAGAAGGATAAAAATGGAGATTTATTACAAATATTTATTATCCTCTTCGATTCTGGCGACTTTTCTCAAAATTAATGTCTAAATTAAACAAATATTAGCCAACTAATTAAATGAGCATAAGAATTAGATTATAAAAGTACCATTGAAATGCGATTATAGAAATACAAAGAATTCGAATCGACCATCAGCCAAATGGAGAATATCTACAGTACTGCGAAGATATGCGACTATAAGAATAAGAGCAAATGCGATCTCGCGCTTGAGCCGGAAATCACCGAAATTCTGATGCACAGCCGCGATCCCGAGGAGTTGAAACACATCTGGATGGAATGGAGGAAAGCTTCGGGTGAACAGGTCAAATCTTTATATCCCAAATACGTCGAATTGGCCAACACCGCGGCGAGGCTCAACAACTTTTCCGATTACGCGGCGTACTGGATGAAGGATTACGAGGCCGATGACTTTCCCGAACAAATCGGTAAGATTCGCACAATGTTATCTGTGCCTATACGACGAAGCACTTGTAAAATAAACGTGGTATTTTCGCAGAGACCCTCTGGCAACAATTAAAACCGCTGTATCTGCAGTTGCACGCTTACGTCCGGCGCGAGCTCAGGAAGAAATACGGCGAGGACATTATTTCCAAGGACGGCCCGATTCCAGCACACTTGTTGGGCAACACCTGGGCTCAGACATGGGCGAATATCGCGGATTTTACCGTACCATTCCCAGGCAAACAGTTGCCGGACGTTAGCGCCGCTTTAGTCGAACAAGGCAGGTTTACGTTCAATTCCCGAAGCTCTGTTACAACTCGGTCTTGCACGGCCGATCTTCTGTTTGCACGTATGTTATAATGCCTCGTAAATATTTCTTCGAGCACAGGTTACAACGCAACAAGCATATTCCGACTTGCCGAGAACTTCTTCAAGTCAATCAATCTGTCCGCCATGCCGGATACATTCTGGGAAAAATCGATCCTGTTGAAGCAGAAGGACGTAAACATGATTTGCCACGCGAGCGCGTGGGATTTTTATGACAGCAAAGATTTCAGGATCAAGCAGTGCACGCGCATCAACATGGAGGATTTGTTGACGGCGCATCATGAAATGGGTCACGTCGAGTATTATTTGCAATACAAAGATCAGCCCACTGTCTTCAAAGAGGGTGCGAATCCCGGCTTTCACGAGGCGGTTGGCGATGTCATCTCTCTCAGCGCGTCCACCCCCAGCCATCTCAAGAAGATTGGACTACTGAAGGACGATTCAACTGACCGGGAAGCATTGCTGAATCATCTTTACGCGAAGAGTCTCGACAAAATTGCTTTTCTGCCGTTCGCCTATATGATGGATCGATGGCGCTGGAATGTATTCCAAGGAAAAGTGACATCCGACAATTACAACTGTAATTGGTTAGTATCCTCGATTGAGGTGAGAGAGATAACAATCTCTCTTTTATGAATAAAAATTTAACGAGTTTTTAAATATCAATTTTAAAAAATTTTAAGAGTAAATTAAAGAGCTTTTTTACTTCAAAGGTGGTCGCTTGCAGAAGAGTACCAAGGTATTGAACCACCAGTGGATAGGTCAGAAGAAGATTTTGATCCCGGCTCGAAATACCACATAATCGCAGACGTTGAGTACATAAGATACTATGTAAGCTTTGTGATACAATTTCAGTTCCATAAAGCGTTGTGCATTAAGGCGAAGCAATACTGTCCAATGAATCCACACGCCAATCCATTGCATCAATGTGATATTTACGATAATAAGGATGCTGGAAACCTGTTGAAGTAAGTCTGAGTATTACAAAAATAATTCTCGAGACAATGTGGACAATGATCACATTTGTGTTAGATCTATGCTGGAGTTGGGTTCTTCAAAACCATGGCCAGATGCGATGGAGAAAATTGCAGGTCAAAGACGAATGGACTCTGCTGGACTTTTAGAATACTTCAAACCTTTAACCGATTGGCTGACGGAAGAAAATAAGAGAACTAACGAATATATTGGATGGAAACCCAGTAACAAACGTATGTATTACTGAAGAAAATGCAAAAATAATTAAGGATTTTATTTATATTTTATATAGAATATTTATGGTAATTGAGTTATTTCACTGATCGTTCTTTCATTTTAGAATGTGTACAGACGAGGGGAGAGCTTAGACTTATTGACGAATCTTCTGAATAATACATTTCCTCCATGGATATGGAAAAATAAAAATATATTTTGAAATAAGTGACAGGGGAGATATTGTGTAATCACATTACATTTCGACACAAAATAAATAACAGGAGAAATATACACATCATGCCATATTCACATATAAATGTTATTGCGATCGATTCGATTAAGCAAATGAACGAATGTTAGCAATATATCAATCTTGTTTCACGTTTTTCTCTAAATAAAATTTACGTTCCATTCTTTGGTATTATTATATGTTCCTTATTTAGGTTTATCGCGTCCCTTTACACGTTTTTTAACCGGTTCGCCACTTCTTTTCGTCGATGCAGCGGCTTTACTGGTACTACCAGCAGGTTTCTTTGCCTATAATAGATTTTCAAATTATATAATCGTACTTTTTTTGTAAAATTGATGTCTCGTAATGAAATTGTGGAAATAATTTGTAATACTACCTTGATCATTTTGTCGGATTCAATACTGTCATCTTCTTCATCATTTTCCTCTTCTATGAGATTTTCATCCTGCATGGATCTTTTCTTTGTTGTAATATTACTGTTAATTACATATGGCAACATAGGAGGATTCTTTTGATACGCTCGTGTAAACGCTGCTTTCACCTAAAAAAATATTGGTAATATTAAAAAAAATATATATATATAATTATACATGTTTTAATTTTATAACACATTGTAATAATTACTTTATATAACTATTATTACTTGATTATTTTAATATGAACATTTATTAATGTTGTGCACATACTTTGCTATCAAGATTACTCGTAGGATCGCGAATTTCCGGCCAGAAAGAAATCTCTATTATTGAATCCAAGTCCTCTCTAAAAGAAAATTAAGTATCAGCAATTGGTTACTCATTCGCATATATTCCAGTGTATAGTATATTCAATATAATTAAAATATATACCTTGTTAGATAATATTTTCCCATAATATTTATTGCTGTTTCAATACCGTCCACACCATTATCTATTAGAGGTTTTATAATTGCGTTCCGAATATGAACCAAGTAATCCATATTCAGAGCATCTTTGTTCGCGCCCGTGGCTAATCGCGTATGCATCGTTAATTCTTGCATTAATCTAGAAATGATACATTCTTATATAGCGATCAAAATAGCGAGCTTCTAAGGAATTTAATAAAAATTTAGTACAGATACTACAGATATACCTATTAAATCTCGTCGTCTTGGAATTTCGCCCAAACCAGCCCGGAAAACGTACCAACGAATCAAGACTCCCCGACATTTCGCTAGTTGGAATAACGAATGAGAAACATGCGTGCAATGGAAGCAGGCTCCACATCATATTGCTTCTCATCGCCTTCTCGATGAGATCTCCTTGGGATATACTGTCGGCCGCTTGAGCGATCTTGTCCAGCCTCTGAAGACTGCAAATATAGCAAAGTCCATTGGTCCTTGCTATATTGTACACAAAGACAAGAATATATACTCACAGTGGTATTTGGGATAATCTGACACTCAGGTAATTTTCTTCTACGAAAAGAGGCGCTATGTTGTAATCGTGGAAATATAAACCAATCTTATCGTTCAAACTCATATTTTTCTGCTCTTCCGCTTTAAATGCCATTTTCACGACGTCAAATGGTCCGAGTTTGAAATTCTTATTCGAATGTTTCCTGTCGGTCGCCTCTACGTGAGGTGTACGACCACCGAGGAACTCGAGATGGTTTATCACTTGTCGAATATCGTAATTCGTCGACTCGATTAGACGATCGAGATCCTCTGTCGATATGTTAATTTTCTCTTTAAAGCATAGAGACTTCATGGAGCTCTGTAGAGAAAAGTGATATACTAATCGCATCAAATAAAAAACATCACTCGAGATTTCTGTAAACTGTCCCTACCCTGATCTGCTCCACTCTGAGCTTGTGAAATCTCAGATCGTAACTATGTACGGAAATGGTTTTCACTCTTGTGTTGAATCGGTCATTGCAGATACAAATAATTGGCACTTGAGTATTTTTTATTAAATTAAGTAGTTCTTGTAAACCACCACGATCCTCGTTACCAGCCATGCCATCGACTTCATCCATCAATAGTACATGCTTGCTTGTGATCTTTCGTTTAGTACCTATTGATATATTTGCTACGTCAAATGAAAAAATGACATAATTATTTCAAAATTTTATTATATGCTCACCCCCAGTGATGTAATCTTTCATTGTAGTATTGGATAATAATCCTGAGACTTCTTCTTTCAGGAGCGTCTTGTTTCTCGTGTCAGAAGCATTGAATTCTACAAGATCGTACCCCAATTCTTTACAAACAACCTGCACAGTTGTTGTTTTACCAACGCCCGGTGGTCCCGACAACAAAGCAGCTTTAAAACTTTGCCCATGAGTTTGTTTATTATCTATTAAAATAGAAACAAAATTAATTAGATTAATTCTCTTATTTTATTTTATTATTTTCTAAAAGGAAGCAATTATCGGGGGAAAAAAAAATAAAAAAATAAAAAAAATAAAAAAGATAGAAAGCATAACAATTGCATGCACATTATGACATACTGCTGTTTTTAAACTTCGGATCTTGGCGATTCTTATCCCAATCGCGCAACCACACATACAAGTTGTGTGCGCAGCTCTTATCTCCTTGCTGTCCTATAATCTGCTTCATAGTTTTAGGTCTATATTTTTCAACTAACGGTTGCAAGCCGATGCTTGTAGTTGTCTAAAAAAATAATAATAGAACTATATTTTAATTTTTATTAGATTTTATTTAATTTAACTATTATATCATTCACACATAGGTATTATCACACTGATGTCTAAGCTTACCTCTTGTGAATAATTGATTGCATCTATTGTCTGCTTTGGTATCGATGATGACGTTTTCATTTTCACAGGTGAACATGGTGGTGATTTTATCTTTTCAGAAAGATCGTATAAATCTGTTAGTGTCGATTTTGCTTTCTCTGTTAATAGCGATTTATCTTCCTCAAATGTATTCAATATTTTTTTCACGTTTGATTTCGCCTTTATTACAACTGGTTTAACATCTTCAGCTTTACCTTCCGGTCTTGTGCGGATCATTTCCAGGAGATCATCCTCAGATATTTGCTTGGTACCCAGATTATTGGCCTAAAAAAAGATATTCATATAAAACAAGAAATGGCAAATATACGCCAAACATATTATATACATCTATAGGCAAATAAATGTACTTTTGCCAATTTTGATGGACCAGCCTCATCTCCTACTATAATATAATTAACTTTGCCTGAAACAGTGTTCACAGTACGACCGCCGTATTTGCGTATTAAATCCTCAACTTCATTTCTTTCCAGAGAATCCAAAACACCAGTTAGCACAAAACTTATACCAGCTAAACAGTTTTGAGCACCCTATAATAAAATGAATATCAGTCAAAGATTTTTTTAATTTTACCAAAAAATGGTTCCTTACAATACATTTCTTTCAGAACTATCTTTAATTGTTATATATGAAAGTAAAACTTACTGTAGGAATCTCTTTTGAACCTGGATTTCTGGCGCCACCTCTCTGAAGATATTTTTCGTACATTGCAGTACGCTGTTTCTTCTTTTCTATTCTTTCTTCAAATAAATCAACCATTTTGGCTTTCTTCTTGTCTGGCGATTGTTTTTTTATGCCGTTTTCTTTTGCAGTAGAAACAGGTCTTGAGATATTTATTGCTAAATTGTTCAAGTTTAATTTTTTTGATTTGTCATCACTACATTTATTATTTGTATCTAAATCTTCATTAGAGCTAGAGCTGTCTTTTTTCATTTTTAATTTCTCTTTTGAAGGAAGAGTAATCATTTTTGAATATACATTATTTTTACTGGGAGATTTTTTCATCTCTTTAGTTTTTGTCATGTTCGTTTTATTTGTTTGATTATTTTTCAAATAAGTATGTTTCTTGCTTTTAATTGAAATTATCTCTGTAAATATATTTTGTTACACCAAATTTTTGTTTAATATTTATTTTAACATTTAATGAATTCAATGTACCTGTTTTAAATGGTTCATCAGATTTTTGGGAAATATTTGCATTTTCAATGCCGTCTTTATCTTTTTTTGTATCCTGTATTATCACATCCTGCGAAGTGTCCAATTGTTTAAGTATAGCATCAAAATCATCATCATTGTGAAATTCAGATTCCTATAAATCCCAGTATTATTTATAGAATGTTGGTTGATTTGTATACTATATTTTGCTTATATAATATTTACCAGTTTCTGTAGTTTTTGGCTAACTTTTGTTTCTTCTACTCTCATTATTGGCCTCTTACCAAATAGTTCGCCAAAAGAGATTGTTTCACATAGCTTTTCACTCTCATTTTTCTTATTTGCTTCTGATTTTGTAAAATCTTTCTTCACAATTATATCATCGTCAGAGTCAGACAAGACAGAAACTTTTGTCGGTTTTTTTCGTACAATCTGATTAATCATATAATTTCGCATTATTGCAAATAATAGAAAGAATAATATAAACAATTATAATAAATAAAATAATGCATATAATATACAGATAAATAACATGGCATACTTTGGTGCGTTTTGCGGATGACTTCGACTTCTCTTCATCTTCATCTGACGAAATTACACGCCTCTTTTGAGACTTTGAAGCAACGGGCTCGCTATTCTTTTTCTGAGAAGTTGCAACCGACGTAAAATAGGATCTTATATCCTGTGAAAGCATATAACAATACATATATTTTCAAATCCGGAGTAAATACAAAAAAATAATCTTCTAATATTCACATCATTCTTATTACATACCCGCGGCATTTTTGCTGATATCGTAAGATATTTAGATCGTGTCTTCTATTTGTACAGGTATAATCGATCGGCAATTTCCCCATCGACGAGTTTCGTTTTCGTAGCAACAAATTCCCGCGAAGCAAGAAATTACGCGTGAATGCGAAGGAGATACGTCCATAGATGTAAAATAAGGACAGATAGATAGACGATAGACCTAGCGTGAAATTTGAGATCTAAAGAGAAAAAAAGAAGCGAAGATTTAAAATGAACGTGATTGGTTCTTACTTTTAGAACCAACAAATCAACGTCGAGTGTTGATAAAACGATGTTGAGAACTGTTGAGTCCGCTGAATGCGTCCAATTTCTCGGGAGGATGTACATGATGAAACATCTGGCGGGAAAATAAGATGAAATTTGTTAGTCGAAGGGGATAATTTAAAAAAAATTATGGTAACATGTGGCATTCTCGGCGAGTTTATAAAATTATTATTCGATTTATTTTACGTATAAAAGACGACATCGAATAATATATAGAAGTTAGAGAAGTCAAATTTCAGAAAAATTAATATCAAAACATATATTTATGACTTTGTTTTAGGTCTTAAAAACACTCGGAATAAAAGCAGCAAGAATAAATATTCTTGTCGGAAATCAAATCGATAATGGAAAATTACGGAATCAGTATTGATTGTCGACATCTAATACTTTTGGCAGATTTAATGACGAGTAGAGGAGAAGTGCTTGGTATTATGAGACAAGGTTTAGACAAGATGAAAGAATCAGTTTTAAACTTGGTAAAATTTTTTACTTTTCATTATTTTGCGATATATTTGTACGTCTTTTTTGATATAATAATTTTTAATTTCAGCTTTTTCATCACCTCTTCTTTGATTCTATAATATAAATAGAATTTCAAGGAAATTTGTGGAAACATCTATTATCTACTGCAAACCAGTTGCCTGTTGCAGTTTGAGAAAACATCGGATTATCTATTTGATTCAGCATATTATAGACAGAAAGATGTTATATGTGGCGTATCAGAATCAATAATGGTTATTCCAATGCCAATAGGCACAGGAATATTCAAGTTACTTCACAAATGTCCTTTTACATTATATTCATAATATACGCAAAGAATTAATTTTTCTTCCAACAGAAATATATAACACTTGTACATTTAATATATATATTATTTTCCTTAATGATTAAACATGGCAGACAAATATAAACCACACAAGAGGGAACTTCTATTTGATGATCTACAGTTTTACAAGCAATTCCATTTTGAAAAACGATTTATGCGAACACAACCATGTCCAGTATTACAGACGTCGTAATAATAAGATGTACATAAAATATGTGTTTTATGAAAATGAAAACATTTACTGTAGCAAACAAAAAATCTTTGTTTTATGATCAATCATTAATTTTTATAATTTACTGATATATAAGATAAACAAAATTATATTTTTGTAATGGAATATTGTTTAATTCCTGTATGTATATTTATTTCACTTGTGTAACTCATAAAAGTATTATATACTTTTTGAGCCATGTATTTTTCCATAGTGTAAATACAAGTATATATGAGCAGATATCAATAGAAATTTTGTTGCTAGGAGACAATGTATGTTTGATCTAAATCTGCCCAAATTTGCCTCATATTTGTACATATCTTCATAATCTCTTGTCATATTGAAATAAAATGTTTAATATGTAAATAAATGTTTAATGAATAATTTGAATATTGAAGAAACGGAGTGAATCGAAATGGTAAACGAGAAAGAATTTTGGACAGAGATTCGAAAAGATATACCGAGATATAAAAAAAGGAAGCCACGAGTCGTTCCTGCTTTCACTATACAAGCTTTGCAGGTGACATGCATATTCAAGAGATATAAGGATGAATGTAACACGCGATAATACACGATATCAATTTTGATGCAGGAAAATACAGTCGTTGCAAAACCACCACGATGCGGATTGTACAAACCTCGTCCACCGAAACCGTCGACTTTCCGAAAATTCTACAAGCGCGGTGTGTTTCCCATCTCCTTGGAAAATGACGGCTACGACCAGAAAATTAATTGGAAAGTAGATATAGAAGACTTGGACTTTCATCATTATCTGCCAATGTTCTTTGATGGATTAACAGAAACGGAACAACCATACAAATTTCTAGTAGAACAAGGAATATCGGATATGTTGGAACATGGTGGTCCAAAAATATTACCCGTTGTTCCTCAATTAATCATACCTATCAAAAGTAAGCTCTGTGAACCAATTTACGATGTAAAAGGGATTTTTATTATTGAAAAAAAAAACTTTTTAGATGCTTTGAATACAAGAATGCCTGAGATAATTTGCACCACTATGAAAGCACTTCAACGTTTAGTACGTTCGGCAGATTGCGTTGGTGAAGCTTTAGTTCCATATTTTAGACAAATTTTACCTATTCCTAATTTACTCAAAGACAGGAATGGTGAGTACATACTTTTTATTATATTTATAAATGAGAATTAAGCTGAAATCTCTGTTGATTCTCCAGTGAATCTCGGAGAAGGTATTGATTATTCTCAACAAAGAGGAGAGAATGCAGCAGATATTATACAAGAAACACTTGAAGTATTGGAAAGATATGGTGGTGAAGATGCTTTCATAAATATTAAATATATGGTTCCTACCTATGAATCTTGTATAATGAATAAATAAACATCAAACAGATTTATTCAATATTCAAAAATAATAATTATTATAAAATTGAAATGCATATATAAAATTCAATTTGATAAGTCATATATAATATAGGAACATACAAAATATGTAATGAAAGGAAATATATCACATATTTTGCAGAAATATTTATCATATTATTAACCATTTACAGCTTGAAGTTAAACTAATAACTTATTATAATATATATAAATATATATCTTATATCTTTCCTGCATCTTCTTTCAATGTTACAGTACGATTGAAAACAAGCTGAAATAAAAGAAAAGTATGTTAATGCAATATGCATGTGTTAATATAATTCTGTGCACACATACACACATTTACCTTTCCAGGTTTGGTATCAAGATCGACCGAGAAGAAGCCTATACGTTCAAATTGAAACTTATCGTACACTTTTGCCGTTTTAGATAAACTGTCATCCATATATGCTACAACTTCCTTTTTGCTGGTAGGATTAATATCACTTAAAAATCCATTGGGTACCTCATTTGTATCCTCAGGATTTTTGTGTTTGAATCTGAGAAATTAAAAATATCTTAATCACATTAGAATTCCCGTAATGTTTTCATAGTTAATAATTCGAAAAATGTGATTACTCACAAACGCTCGTATAGCCTAACAGATGCCAATACTGGATTAGACACCCAATGTATAAACGCTTTCGGTTTATTGTTTTCTGAAACAGGATCTTGTCTAACTGTTATGTTTATAATGTTGCCACTGGCATCTTTCTCGATGTTTTCAAACGTCACTACCATGCCTGTGTGCTTCAAACCTACAGGTTGTTTTGGCGTCAAGCGTCTAAAACCTTTCTCTTCAATCTGCAATCACACAAACATGTATTTAAATAAAACTATTATGTAAAAAATTTCCAGAAGAGACAAAAATATACATTGCATACTTCTTTAAAGTCTGAAGCTTCTATGTACAGGATTTCGTTAAATGTAATTTCATGGTGTCCCCTTTCTGGTTCGTTAGGGAAATTGGGTACAGTCAATTTTATGGTTTTCTCATGAGGGAAATTTTTTATGGTCAATTTAATAGGATCTAAAACAACCATAAATCGTGGGGCTGTGAGATTCAAGACATCCCTAACAGCTGCTTCCAACACTGTTGGATCGACGGTCGCTTGTGCACCAGTTACACCCATTTGGGCACAGAAATTATTTATGGCTTCTGGCGGAAATCCACGTCTACGTAGTGCACTCAATGTAAATAATCTGTAAAAAGAACAGAATTATAATATGCATTAATATTAGTAAAATAGAAATCTGTTACTATTCATTTTATACTCTACCTAGGATCATCCCAGTCTGATACTATTCCCTCATGTATTAATTTGGCAATTTTTCTTTTAGAAATTACGGTATAATTGACATTTAATCGCCCATATTCCCATTGTACGGGACAATAAACGTCCAAGGCATTGCAAAGCCAATAATAAGATGATCTTCGTGATTGGAATTCCTTTGTGCAAAGAGAATGAGTGATATTTTCAATGCTGTCGCACAAACAATGAGTGTAATCATAAGTGGGATAAATACACCATTGATCACCGGTTCGATGATGCGGTGAATATTTTATTCTATATGCGACAGGATCCTGCTTGCCTTCTTCTAAAGTCACTTTCATGCGCAAGGTTGCTTCTCCCTCTTCTAACAAACCATCTTTCATATCCTATTTTTAAAAAAGAGACATGATAGATAAGTATACAAGAATAATAGAGGAAATACATTCGAGACAAATATTTCATTATTACATTAAACAGTTGCAAGCTCTCTGCGATTGGCCTGTTCCGCCAAGGACTCGGCGGAGAATTGAAACCCTTCATTTCCTCGCTGGATTGATGACAAACATAGGCTAATCCTTTTTCTATAAGCTCCACAGCCCATTTGTACAGCTGCTGGAAATAATCCGAAGAATGCGTGACTGCGGCCGGTTTGTAACCGAGCCATTCCACCATCTCTCGTATCCCAATGAAAAATTTCTCCTCTTCCTTTTCGGGATTTGTGTCATCATATCGCAAATAACACATGCCATCATATGCAGCGGCATATCTGTGAGATTCATTTTCTTCATGTAATATATTACAATATATTTAGCTTGCAAGATTAAATATAGTGTATATATATACCCAAAGTTGATGTTGATAGCCTTTGCATGTCCGATATGTAAAATTCCATTAGGCTCTGGTGGGAATCTAGTTCTCACTTTACCACCAGTAGCTTTCAAGTGTTCCTGCAATAGACGATGCGTGTTAGGCGTTACGATGTATCCCTCGGTTTTATAATTTTCCCCAGGTTTATGAAAGTGAATCTTGGTTTTCATGAGCTCACTTATGGTTTGTGCTTCTATCTTTTCGCCATTTGACGCTTCTTTCTGTTCTAAAGTTTTAACAATCTTTGAAACAGAGAATCTATATAATCTTGGAAATAGATGTTCAAAATATTTTTTAACATGAAATACAAGCAGTGCTGTATTATAGTTCACCTTCTTTTACAATTTCAGATTTTTTAGTTTTTGTTTGCTTGTCCTTTGGCTGTTTCATTTTAGGCACTGGTATGAGATCAGTATCAGTTTTTGGTCCCAACAGATAGAGAAGTTGGATATCAAATTCATTTTTTACCGCTTTACCATCTGCCCATTTTAAAATGTTGCGTACTTGTTGCATCAATGGACCAGAATTAAAGCGATACCTATTTTTATATAAATGTAACAAAATTGTAATTATTTATAGCAATGCGCGCACATCACTGTTTTCTCATGTTTAAATTTCTATTTAAATATATTGCATACATGATATTAGAACTGAATGTATATAAATAATATAAATTTTTTAAATATTTTTTTCACCTCTTTTCTATTATCTCATTTTCATGTGTCTTTATGATTTTCTCTACTTCTTCCTCTATCTGTTCAGGTGAAATTATCACTCCTACACCGCAAAACTCTTCAAATTCTGCTATGTTAAGGGTATTATTCACATTAACTAGCAGATAACTCAATGCGGCGTCGATTCTCTGTACAGTATCCAGCTTCTTTTCAACAATATAATTAGTAACAAATGGTATCTTATCTACAACCTGATTTTTAATCTTGGAAGCTAGATGATATAGTAAAACGCCAATATCTTGAGGAACAGGACCATGTTTAACTGCCTGTAAGTGTTAAATGAATTTACAATATATATGTTTCCTTGTTAACATGTTCCACATGCTAGATCAATCTTTGATGATTTTCCATTTATGTTGCAACAGTTGCAAACGTTCTACATTGTCAAAGAACTAATTTTCTTTATTATGTATGTTTTATAATATTTATAAGATTGCAAAATTCATTATTATCAAAAAAGTATAATATTTAAAATGCTCTACAAAAGAAAAAGAAAAATTAAGCAAATAAAAAGAATATACAAATCTATAAGATAATTTCTATGAAATGAAAAGAAAAAGAGTTATGTCTTACAAGAATTCAGCACGAGACATATACAACAAATATGGCAGGAAACATGTCACAAAAGTAAAAATCAGATTCATAATTAATGTTGAAAATATATGCAGATATAACAGGCATATAAAAAAAGATCTTGAAGACATCTTAAAGATGTCTTACGTTTTTTTGAACATTTTTATAAAGGATTTATATTTAATGTTAAAAATATACATAGACATACGTATCCAAAAAATATCTCAAAGATATCTTAAAAATATCTTGTTTGTTAAATATTTTTAAAATATTTTAATTCCTGGATATGATGCAATTGCACAGTTCAAGATGTGGAACAAAAAATAATGATGCAAAAACATGACAGAAGTCTAGTTTTTTTTTACAGAACTTTTATTTTCGAATTTAATTGTCACAGTATTATTTTCAAACTTAATTTATAAAATACAATTTAGACCTTTAAGAGTCGATTCGAAAATTTAAGATTCGGTTATTATAAGATCGAGCAGTAATCAGTCTACTAACCTCATTTATCGCCAGTTTAAGATTCTTCGTGACATTTACATTTTTTAAGGTTTCCTTAGCCTTTTGCTCACTCAGACCGATTGTTTGAAATAGTTTCACGTCATCCTCGTCTCCCACCGGCATTTTATTTTTTCTTATTTGATAAATAAATAAATAAAGAATCCTTCAATGAACAGTTCGGTCTTTTTATAAAAGACTAGGAATGGCGGACGGTTATATGAATATATAACAGTCAGACTTCTTATAAACACTTTAAATATATTTACAGTCTTTGATTTGCATAAGCGTTCAATTATTGCGTCAGACAAATTATCACCGAGACAAAAAGATCAAAGACCACATCGAAAAGGAATGCAGTTATCAATTGATAATTTATGGCCAACCAGGCCTTTATTTCACAATACCACGTATATTCCGTATGTTAAACGTTACTTGCTCTCACAGAGCCCCACTGCAATAATAACTCAATAATAACTCCTTTATTAAGCGTTATAAAAAAATATGATAGAAAACTTTTCGACTCAGTTTGGTCCGCTCTATCTGCACACGAGTATTGTCCCCAATGATCTGGGACACCCTGTATATTCTAATACATTTTAGATGAGGTTATTGCAGAGAAATATTGAAAGTGCATTCTAATAATAAGAGCAGATCTACAGTGAAGATGAAATTCGATTTGTAAATAAAAACCGCAGAGGTCGATTTTCATCGTTGCTCTGATTAACGCAACGAATTAATTATCTTAATAAACGGTACGTAACTTTGATTCATAAGAGTATAGTAAATAGTGATAATTTTGATTCCTATTCGAATTTTCTGATCGATCGACTTTCTATGATTATTTTTATTTCTCTAGCTCTCTATATAGAGATAATCTCTACATCGTGAATTATTGTGAACAATGTATGAAAGCGATGACGAACAACCGCGATTGAGCTCGAGCACGCTTGCTGCACTAGAAGAATTTCTCAAGGAAAGATATGAGCAACAGATTTTGCTGGAACATGTATCTAAGGAAGATCAAATATCAAATAATCTGTTTGATGAGAATTGGGTGAGTCAATGTGTGAATATATAACATATTTTTGATCCTCTGAAAAAATTGACATGTAATAAATGTTACAGCAATTGAGCCAATTTTGGTATGATGACAAAACAATAGAGGCTTTTGTTAGAGGCGCATTAAATTCCACACCAGCAAACGGAAAAATTGCTTTAGTTTCTTGTCCAACACTTTACAGTAAATTGAAGAGAGAATGCGATAAAAGGCAAAGTACGACAAGTATTTGCATCCTATGCATAATCTAAGTAATATTTGTTGAGAAGTCTTTTGTGTAAATATATTAATTCTATTACAGTTACGCTGTTTGAATATGATAGTCGTTTCAAGACATTTGGTGTAGATTTCATACAATATGATTACAAGTCTCCTCTAAACGTGCCCAAACATATGTCTAGTCAGTTTGATTTGGTCATAGCAGATCCACCATTTCTATCGGTTGAATGTTTAACTAAAACAGCGGTAACAATAAAGTTTTTGATGAAGAAGAACATTGTGCTCTGTACAGGTATACATACAATTATATTTCTGCAATTTTTTGTTGCATATTGTTTATATATTAATATTAGAGTGAATACAATTTTGTTTATAGGAGCTGTCATGACAGAGTTGGCAGAAAGACTGTTGGATGTCAAAAAGTGTGATTTTATTCCAGGCCACAGGAACAATTTGGCGAATGAATTTTGCTGCTTCTCGAATTTCGATTTTGATAAAACTCTGGAATAAGTGTAAACAGTATTAAGAACAGCACCAAAGACAGATATATTTTCATAATATAAGTAAACTAATAAGATTATTAATATTTATCTAGAATCAATATAAATGGATTTAAGTATCTAGATTTAGCCAACAAATTTTAATAAACTTATTATTTTGCACCATTTATACATATGTGAAAACACGCAACAATCCATTAAAATTTATTATGATATCAACATTACACCGATTTATCTCTTCGGTGCGAGCATTATGATTGGTTGTGACTTGTGACGAGAGAGAAATTTTTGAGAGGTAGGGAGAATCGAAACACAGGATGATATTGGTATACTTCTATGTACCCCCCTTACCTAAGGGACGAATCGTTGACGCGCAGTACACAATGTACCTTGGATAAATTTTAATTGATGTTGATATGTATGTGTGCTCATAAGTCAAATTATTTATCTTCATATGTATTACCTTAAAAATTGTTTGCATATATATGCTCCAGCCACTTTGCAGTAATAAACGCCTGTTCGAAAAAAAGGAATCGAATAGTTGTGTGTATAATTAATTTTTCTTAGACCAGGTCCATAATTTTTAAATGTATGCGATACCTATACAATCCACAAAAGCATATAAAAATATTAAAGATATTAATATTAGTTAAAGATAAGTTGATTTTAAGCTCTAAGTGAAACCATTTTACTCACATATATCCATTGTTTATCTTTTATGGTACCACAAAAATGGAATGTATCTATCAAATTTCCTTTTTCTCCTAACAATTCAATATGACATTCATATATTATTGGATAATCTGGATCATACAAATAATATTCCTCCACCTAGAAGATATTATAATTTCTATCAATTTTATTCTCAGAATTTTATAGAGCATTTTAAATTAATGTAATTAATAATGACGATACCGATTTTGTATTACATATAATACATAAAATATGCCACGGTATATCGTGGTTTGGAAATGATTCATCAAATATTTTTTCCGCCTTCTTACGCCAAATTATTCTTAGGTATCTTTCTGCTTCTCTGTTTCAAAATTTGCACACTAATCGGCAAATCACCAAGCCCCGATGGTCCGGAATGTGGCGGAAGATATATTCGATAATTTCGGGCGGAAGCGTTGATATATTACAAGCCATTTTTAATATTCAGTGAATATTTGCGGTCGCGTTGTGTTGTTTGTCAACGAACTAAACCGTTATTAGGTCCCATATGTCTCCCATATGTCTAATCTTGATGTATCAAGGGACAAATCCTGAAGTAAATATCTATTGTTAATAGATTTATCAATAAGTTCATAAGTCGAATTATTTATGTATCACCTTCATATTACCTTAAAAAATGGTTGCATATATAAATGCCCCAGCAACCTTGCAATGGTAAATGCTTCTCTGCGAAAGGCAAGGGATTGAATAGATTTTAATTGATGTTCATAAGTCAAATTATTTATCTTTATATATATTACCTTAACAAATGGTTGCACATATAAATGCCCCAGCAACCTTGCACCGGTACACGCATGTTCGAGAAAATGCAGTAATTGTTATGCGTATAATTGATTCTCCTTAAACCTGGTCCATAATTTTTAAATATATGCGATACCTATTCCACAAAAGCATATAAAAATATTAGTTAAATATATATAATATTAGTTAAAGATAAGTTGATTTTAAGCTCTAAGTGAAACGCATTTTACTTACATGTTTCTATTGTTTTTCATTTTTTTCGGTACCATAAAATTGGAATTTATCTAATAATCTTCCCTTTTCTCCCAATAATTCTACATTACATTCATATATTATTGGACATTCGGGATCGTATAAGTAATATTCCTCCACCTAGAAGGTATTATAATTTTTATCAAGTTTATTCTCAGAATTTTATAAAGTATTTTAAATTAATGTAATTAATGATGATGATACCGTTATAGGTGGCTGTAAACAATCCAACACACATGAATGAAATCCTTTAATTTCCAGATCAATTAAGTGATCAGAATGGCAGAAAATTTTAGTTATAGTATCAGTATCGCGTACTATGGTGCTAATTGTGGCGATCGTGGCGCAGAGAACTGTGCTGAAGGGCTCGAGTTCAAATCCAGCCAGAGCCAGAAAACAGCGAATGTATTTTTCCAAGTCAATTGAATGATCACAATTGCAAAAAATTTTATCTATTTTATCAATGTTGTGTAGCATGGAAAAATGACAGATTCCCTGATAAGGGAATCGATTAAAACTATAAAATATAATTGTTCCGTATTAAGGTACAAGACCCTGAGTGAACATCTATTATTAATTGTCTTATTACGATGGAAGAACTCTTCTTCGTAATAATTCTCCATCAAATTATTTATAAATAATGATTTTGTATTACATATAATACATAAAATATGCCACGGTATATCGTGGTCTGACGTCTGAGCAGTGATGCGCTGTCGTGGGAATAAAGTCGCGCATGCGCACTAAGCAAGCGCTACGTATCCTCACTAATGTATATAGTTCAATCAAATATGAGGTATCGTTAGGTACCCCCCAGCGAGAAAAAAAATATGAAGGAATTTGCAAGGAATGTTTCTATCAAAGAATGTTGCAAAGAATGTTTCTATTAAAGATAATACGACACACTACACGCGTTATCACTTCATTACTAGAAAGACGCGGGAAAACTACGCGGAAACCCTTATACGCACCTAACGTTGCAGCTAGATACATCTGTGGTAACGCGTGACGTATAGCTGTGACGTTTCTGTTGGCCACCCTGCTAATTTTAACCGTCGGTTAATCTAACCGGACTTTGTGAAATTGGCACTTATACGCAACTAACGTTGCAGCTAGATACATCTGTGGTAACGCGTGACGTATAGCTGTGACGTCAGCTTACGCATGCGCACGGAGATTCCCACATGGGAAAAAATCCCACGGCAGCACATCACTGCGTCTGAGAACGATTCGTTGAATATTGCTTTCTCAAAACGATACGCCCTCTGTGGACATAGAAACCTAAAGACAAGAAAGTTCCTAGATCGCGAGAAGGCAAAAGATCCCTAAGCAGAATCGCATCCGCGAAAAAGTAGACACGCGATGGAAAGCGTAAATATTTACATCTTTTGAGTGTTCGTTGGCGCATTTTTTTTTATTTGTAATCATGATAGACGGGAACATCTCGATGGAGGAGGACACGGAATTACGGGACCTGGTGGTCCAGACCCTGGAGAACAACGGCGTCCTTGCCAAGATACGGGTGCGTCCTGAGAAAACTATGTCGCGAAAAAAAGAAAAATATGCGAGTCTCTGTAGGTTAGGCATGTTTCTGGGACGAGTGGGCGAAAACGATCGTATTAATTCGTAATCTCCTCTTTTTTTTGTCGCTTTATCGAACCTCTTTTACAATGTTTACAGGCGGAACTCAGGGCGAGCGTGTTCCTGGCACTCGAAGAACAGGATTCGGTTATGGTAGGTGCCGTCTGAGCGTGCCGCAATAAAGCGTAAAAAGAAAGCTTCCTGTTTACAATTCTTTGTGCTCGATTGGCCGTAGTGGGTTTTCATGCGTGCAAAATATATGCAGAGGGTGTCTTGTTTATAAGTAATATACAGATACTGTTACCTCTATTGCATTTATACAAAGAAATTTATATTATTTTTTATAAATATTTTATAATTGTAATACAATCATTACAATTTCCTAAAAAGAGAATTGTGAGCTATATGCACAAATTTTTCAAACAAATATATTCTCTAACTTTTAGTGTATGTGTACATATATATCAGATTTTTATAAATTAAATTTATTATTATTTTTGAAATTTGTGAAAGAAAAACAATATGTTGTATAATACATGATCCTGAACTATTTAACAGATTTGAATTGAATGTTTCAGAATCCTGAGCCGCTTCTCAACAAAACTGTAAAGCAGTACCTGTCTAATTCAGAAGGAAAATTATTGTTTTCCTTGGTTAGGGAGTTCCTAGAATACTTCGGTCTTGATTATACAATATCTGTATATGATCCGGAGACATACTTAGGGAAGGAATATAACTATGTAGGGAGAAATAAATTGTGCGAAGAATTAGGTATTGACTCAACCGAGCCATTGCTGGGGGAAATTCTGAAAAATAGCATCAATGGTGCCTTCAATAGTTCACAGAAGGTATATTTTTAAATTAATTATTTTCAAGATCTTAATAATACTTTATTTGTAATAACTTGATTGTCTGTAATACTTTTTTGTTACTACTAAGACAAAAAAAAAGGGATGTTTCAGCATTATGTATTTATTATGGGTTATTTCTTACAGAATAAGAGTAGCAAGAAACACAATGAGACAGATGAAACGTCAATGCATTTTGCAAATGCGACGTTTGAAGTGTCTGTGCCCAAAATAATACACAATGAATCCATGTCGTCATCAAACGACAATGATTTCTCCGAAAAGTTGGAAAGTATTTCCGATCAAAGTCCGAAAGTTCCAATAAACGTGACAATAACGGACAAGCAATGCAAAGATTCGCCGATCGCCGCCGACGTTGTAACAGATACGTCGGATTGTGATAAGCATCAATCTTCTCTCAGGGAGAACACAATGGACATTGATGGAATTGAAGGTAACAGGAATAATAATGTAAGTTTTGATAAAAGCACGGCAAGTCTACACGGCGCATGCACGACTACAAACGACATGGTACAGGAGACTGATATTGTTACATCAAATCGAATAAATCCATTCAACAAATCCGAATCCTTAATTAAGTTTGATGACTCTATAGTGATCGACACACAAGCAAATCAAAAGGATATAACTAAGCAAAACAGTATAAATAGTTTGGAGTTAAGCATAGAGAATAATGTACAAAGTAAGAGACCGATTAACGCGAGAAATAACTTCGGCAAAACTATATATTTTGACGAGATTATCGTCGGTGGTGAGCACAAGATTGTTAGTACAATGAATGAAGCCAAGCCTTTTCTAGAAAGCTTGCCAACTATAAATCAAAAATCTAATTCTATATTCAGCGATTTGCCTCCTTTGAATGGTAAAAAGGCCAATATTAATGATCTGAAGGAATTAATGAATATTGGTCTTGGTAAGTTGTAAAAATATAATAATAGAAAACAGATATACATTTTTTTCATATAATACATAATACACTAATTTTATAAAAATATTAAAGGGATACAATTTTACAGCTGCAGATGTTATAGATAACTATGAAGAGGATTTTGTGTCATCTGCATCAGGTAGCGCAAACGAACAAAGTCCCTGTAAGGAGCCAGACAAGTCAGATAACCCAGTCAAGTTACGAATGAAGAAAGAGGAAAAAACTCAAAGTGCCCGTAGTGAAGATTTAAGTGAGGAAATTGAAGAAATGGACGAAATCTTAAGTAGTACTTCCTGTGTAAGTAAACTAAATTTAAATTGACGCGATCACAGAAGAGGAGAGGAGAGGGGATGACACTGTTACAATTGCAATTGCATATATATTTTTTTCCCGCATGGATTACGTAACTATATACACATAGAATCATTATATTTTAGCTTGAAGATACAAATACGGATAAGAATATATCAAACTTTACGACTGGTATTACCGCGGAATATACATAGAAGAAATGTAATTTTCAATCATCGCTACACAGATCCTTTGTAAGAACAGTAAAAAGATGTTACTCTTGTATGTAACATCGATGAGATCGATACTCCATTGTTCGGGATATCCACGCCGTCTACTGTAAAAATTTGTAGAATTGAATTCATAGTTTCTGACAAAGGCACTGCCAAGCTGTGGCTCAATACTTATAAGTTGCGCTGCAAAAAAGAACGTAGAAGGAAAATGTCTGAATGCATATTTCAACAGACGATATGATATTTTTGTACAGTTTGTAAAAATAAGCAATGTTCCGGACTGTCATAATTCACAATATATATATATATATTCAAACAAGTATCATCAATCTTTTTCATAGGTAGTTCAAATATTACATAATTAAAAAGGAATAATATGATCAATTCTGTTGTTATTAAACACTTATATATAAAATGTATTTTTTTATTATTTATTATGTTGAGAATCTTTTGCAGTATTTATTATAATACTAACAAAGAAGACGAAAAAATATGTGTGAAATTATATTAAATTGTTATATATATGCAATTATGAGAGAGAAAATTGCAATATTCTCGAAGCTTTTATTTTATATTTTTATAAAAAAAAATAATATTGACAATGTTGAATATATATTCAAATAAATCTATTTATTTCATTCAACTTCAGACAGGTTACCTTCTACGTTGTATAAAAAATATGCCTAGTATTATTACTCATACAAGCATATTACACAAGTGTTATGATAATTTAAATATTAGAGAAGAGTCAAACGCGAGAGTTACTGCTTCTTTAGTAACTTAGTTATATTTCTCTTTTTTTTTCTTTTTTTTTTTTTTTTTAGGAAATCTGTTAGCATTTTATTGTGTTTACTGAAATATCTTTGTCCTTAATTTTATGACTGAACATTGTCCATTACCTCATTTATATAAAGATATGATATTATAACAATATCAGGAAATCGTCCGTCTAGAAATGGATTGCCTAAAAAATCCATCAAATTATTTTTTCGAACATAATGGTGCTAAGTGTTTGAAGCTAAAAACTTATTTATGAGAGTTAACATTATCTAAGAAAAAAGAAAAAAAAGTTAGGTGCTTATATATTTTCTTGCATCTATGATTCGCAGGAAATTATAATTAGTGAAAGCTATAGATTAGAATATTAATTTTCGAAAAAGATTAGAATATTAATTCCAATTCCAATTGAAAAGAAAGAAAAACATATAATGCGGATATTTTGTGACTTCCTCATATAAGATGCAATAATGAAGTACAACTCAAGGTGGATCAATTAAATGCTTGACAAATCAAAATCTTTTTGTAAAAAATGTATAGCCACAGCCAGCTTTACACAAAAGAATTTTCATTGATGGCTATTAATATTATCGATATTAGAAATTGTCTGGTTCGAACGAAGAAATTCCGTCATTTAGGTAACGTTTAATTCAGCAAAACCGAATAGTATTTGTCACAACAATTTAGATGTTAATGACGAATTATCAAAGAAATACTGTGCTCAAATACTTGCAGCATTTTTTACTACATACCTGTATAATACTGTATTTAATTATTACTGCTCTACACTATATATATTTATAAATTGTCATGTTCAACATAAATGTTGCGAGATAAATGTTTATTTTGATAGCGATTACTCATACACAGTAACGGAATCACTTAGTTCGAACTGCCATTTATCCCGATAATATATATTAAAGAAAAAACAAACCAACAGGTGTATTCCTGTGGCCAATCAGCGTGGTTACATTCTATTATCGATACACAATTTTACAAAGAACGGGATTCAGGACTGCATTTGAACATTCCTATACTCTGTATAATCTAGAAGATAGATACATTCCATTGTTACTAAGATAGTCGTTGCATTGTTACCATTAGCAAGCACGTTTACATATAAGTATTTCTCGTAGACTGTAAGAGAGTAATTTAAGGAGCATTTTATATATTCACTGCAAGAACAATTACAGAGGTTTATTTGAATTCTCGAAGCAACATGCAGGAAGTTCTTAAAATTAATGGAATTGATTACAGGGTATGCGCGGACATCTCTATTTATGTGACTCTTAAAGACTTCGTTTAATTGTAGGACGACAGTATATTTAGATTATATGTTGCTTACATATCTTTTTTGTACATCTTTATTTTTCTCTCTTCTTGTTTTTTCTTTCTTTCTTTTCTTTTTTTTCCCTTTTTTTTCCATCGTTCGTTTGTAACATAGATATCTAAAAACTGCTTAAATACTATGATTAAAATTTTTGAAGATGCTATTAACATGCAAACTATTTGCAATACTTTCCATAATGTGCTTTTGACTGTATTTATTTACACTTGGGGATCAGTAATATCTTCTTTTGATGTACACTGTTGTTTGACGCAGCTTTTACGAGAAGAACATATCCGATACACACAACTAATATATTAAATCAAGTAATAATTTTATTACAAGAAATGTATGTAGGTATATAAAACATAGTGGTGTTTAAATGCACATTTAATGGAGTGACAGGCTCGATATTTTCGGGATAGATAAGTAGGTAACTGTAGTCATAGTTATTCATAATCCACAGTTTGAAATTTCATGCAAACAAAGTATTAATAATAATGATAATAACCTGCTTTATACAGTACTTCTCTATAATATCATGGTCGCAGATAATTATTTTGTAACCACGTTGAAATATTGGTAGCTATACCGTGCCTTTTAGTGTGTATGAGATAATTATAAAGAATGCAAAAATATATAAGAATACTGTGGGATATTGTGGGTTTTACAAAATACTTATGTTACTTATTTATGATTTTCAAGTAATGATGTAATAATATGTATTCAACACACACATGTATATGTTATTTATTTTATAAAAATTTTTCTCTTTTGCAATTGTCTACTTTTTTTTTTCATTAATTTACGCTCCTATAAAGATAGCTTGTTCCATTACAATTGTTATAACGATAGGCATTGTGTGTATTTCTTGATAGCATTAACAAAGATATTTTTATTACTACATAAAATATGTAATTATACACTTTATAATAAAGTAATTCAGCTTCTGTATTTTTTTAATCTTAGATAGCGACATATTATATTACAAGTGTATTTTAATTGTATCGTACATAATTTACAGTAGTATATTATATTCAATTTCTCATGTGAAAAATAATGATAATGTATTATATTTCGCTGTTTATGAACTTCATACTTTTTGTATGAATTTCGTATAAAAAAAAATACATCTGTAATAACTAATGAACACTATATGATCCATTGATTGTGCCATTAAATGACAGTCTGGATACCAAATAACAATATATTTTCATGAATTTTTATATTTACAGTCTATTGCGTTCTCTTTGGATTCGTTCACCATATGTTTTTGATATGAGATTAAAAGAATCCATGTATCGATCCATACACATTGCTATGCATTTCTGTAAACAAATCAGCCAGTCAATGAAATTAAAAAACAAATATTATCAGCCTAAATTATAATCAATTTCATTGACATGTTAGAATTGATAAAAAAATTCATACTGTGAGAGAAATGATAAATTTCTAATATATATTTTCAAAGTTCAATATCGATTCTACCATCGCAGAAGTCTTTTTTAGGAAATCTGTTAGCATTTTATTGTGTTTACTGAAATATCTTTGTCCTTAATTTTATGACTGAACATTGTCCATTACCTCATTTATATAAAGATATGATATTATAACAATATCAGGAAATCGTCCGTCTAGAAATGGATTGCCTAAAAAATCCATCAAATTATTTTTTCGAACATAATGGTGCTAAGTGTTTGAAGCTAAAAACTTATTTATGAGAGTTAACATTATCTAAGAAAAAAGAAAAAAAAGTTAGGTGCTTATATATTTTCTTGCATCTATGATTCGCAGGAAATTATAATTAGTGAAAGCTATAGATTAGAATATTAATTTTCGAAAAAGATTAGAATATTAATTCCAATTCCAATTGAAAAGAAAGAAAAACATATAATGCGGATATTTTGTGACTTCCTCATATAAGATGCAATAATGAAGTACAACTCAAGGTGGATCAATTAAATGCTTGACAAATCAAAATCTTTTTGTAAAAAATGTATAGCCACAGCCAGCTTTACACAAAAGAATTTTCATTGATGGCTATTAATATTATCGATATTAGAAATTGTCTGGTTCGAACGAAGAAATTCCGTCATTTAGGTAACGTTTAATTCAGCAAAACCGAATAGTATTTGTCACAACAATTTAGATGTTAATGACGAATTATCAAAGAAATACTGTGCTCAAATACTTGCAGCATTTTTTACTACATACCTGTATAATACTGTATTTAATTATTACTGCTCTACACTATATATATTTATAAATTGTCATGTTCAACATAAATGTTGCGAGATAAATGTTTATTTTGATAGCGATTACTCATACACAGTAACGGAATCACTTAGTTCGAACTGCCATTTATCCCGATAATATATATTAAAGAAAAAACAAACCAACAGGTGTATTCCTGTGGCCAATCAGCGTGGTTACATTCTATTATCGATACACAATTTTACAAAGAACGGGATTCAGGACTGCATTTGAACATTCCTATACTCTGTATAATCTAGAAGATAGATACATTCCATTGTTACTAAGATAGTCGTTGCATTGTTACCATTAGCAAGCACGTTTACATATAAGTATTTCTCGTAGACTGTAAGAGAGTAATTTAAGGAGCATTTTATATATTCACTGCAAGAACAATTACAGAGGTTTATTTGAATTCTCGAAGCAACATGCAGGAAGTTCTTAAAATTAATGGAATTGATTACAGGGTATGCGCGGACATCTCTATTTATGTGACTCTTAAAGACTTCGTTTAATTGTAGGACGACAGTATATTTAGATTATATGTTGCTTACATATCTTTTTTGTACATCTTTATTTTTCTCTCTTCTTGTTTTTTCTTTCTTTCTTTTCTTTTTTTTCCCTTTTTTTTCCATCGTTCGTTTGTAACATAGATATCTAAAAACTGCTTAAATACTATGATTAAAATTTTTGAAGATGCTATTAACATGCAAACTATTTGCAATACTTTCCATAATGTGCTTTTGACTGTATTTATTTACACTTGGGGATCAGTAATATCTTCTTTTGATGTACACTGTTGTTTGACGCAGCTTTTACGAGAAGAACATATCCGATACACACAACTAATATATTAAATCAAGTAATAATTTTATTACAAGAAATGTATGTAGGTATATAAAACATAGTGGTGTTTAAATGCACATTTAATGGAGTGACAGGCTCGATATTTTCGGGATAGATAAGTAGGTAACTGTAGTCATAGTTATTCATAATCCACAGTTTGAAATTTCATGCAAACAAAGTATTAATAATAATGATAATAACCTGCTTTATACAGTACTTCTCTATAATATCATGGTCGCAGATAATTATTTTGTAACCACGTTGAAATATTGGTAGCTATACCGTGCCTTTTAGTGTGTATGAGATAATTATAAAGAATGCAAAAATATATAAGAATACTGTGGGATATTGTGGGTTTTACAAAATACTTATGTTACTTATTTATGATTTTCAAGTAATGATGTAATAATATGTATTCAACACACACATGTATATGTTATTTATTTTATAAAAATTTTTCTCTTTTGCAATTGTCTACTTTTTTTTTTCATTAATTTACGCTCCTATAAAGATAGCTTGTTCCATTACAATTGTTATAACGATAGGCATTGTGTGTATTTCTTGATAGCATTAACAAAGATATTTTTATTACTACATAAAATATGTAATTATACACTTTATAATAAAGTAATTCAGCTTCTGTATTTTTTTAATCTTAGATAGCGACATATTATATTACAAGTGTATTTTAATTGTATCGTACATAATTTACAGTAGTATATTATATTCAATTTCTCATGTGAAAAATAATGATAATGTATTATATTTCGCTGTTTATGAACTTCATACTTTTTGTATGAATTTCGTATAAAAAAAAATACATCTGTAATAACTAATGAACACTATATGATCCATTGATTGTGCCATTAAATGACAGTCTGGATACCAAATAACAATATATTTTCATGAATTTTTATATTTACAGTCTATTGCGTTCTCTTTGGATTCGTTCACCATATGTTTTTGATATGAGATTAAAAGAATCCATGTATCGATCCATACACATTGCTATGCATTTCTGTAAACAAATCAGCCAGTCAATGAAATTAAAAAACAAATATTATCAGCCTAAATTATAATCAATTTCATTGACATGTTAGAATTGATAAAAAAATTCATACTGTGAGAGAAATGATAAATTTCTAATATATATTTTCAAAGTTCAATATCGATTCTACCATCGCAGAAGTCTTTTTCTCTCAAAATTTCTAATGAATTTAATTCTAACAAGGAAACTCGAGGATTTAAAAAAAAATTTTATATTCTTGTGTCATATCTGTCAAGTTAAATTTGTAGAAAATTTACCTGCTCCGAAGTGTCCAGCGAGGTGCCCGGCTTGCTTATGCACTTTTTAAAACATTTTTCCGTAATTCTCTGCAAATAAGCATAAAAACATAACATTCAGTCAGCCGATACAACATTCAGTCAGTCGGCTATGGGACGATATTGTTATCGATAAATTTAAAATATTCAAAAGCGTAATGCAGATACCGTGAGCAATTCTTGGGCATTGGCTATTGCCATTTGATGTTTCACTTGCTGCATCAATTCTTCGCGCTGCGAACCCGTCAAATTTCCCGGCGCCAACGTGTCCATTCTTGAAATTTGGCGGGGTTATATTGTCAATGACAAGATTAAAATTTGTAAAAGAATCCTGTGTGTTGATTATCTTCCATAGAACTTTACGTGCTATGGCACTAACCTCACACCTTACCGTCTTGGCCGCACAAGCGAGAGCACGTGCCTCAAACTCCATTCACACGGATCTTTCCTAGTGATTCTTTTTTTGAACGTAATTGGTTGGTAACAATTCAGTTATATTACGTGGAAACTTGTATACCAGCCATTAAATTTGATTGACGCCATTTGCAAAATTCAAATCGATTTCTCGAATTCTTATACTTTATTTATGAAAGGCGCGCTTATACGTTTTTTCTTTATAAGAAAAGATTTAGTGAATCAATCAAGTGCGGGAGAGAGTGATTTATCGAAATATATCACATCTCAAATTGTAATAAATTATTAGAAGTGATAATTTACGATTAGACGCGCAAGAGAAAAGAAAAAAAAATGAGGAGTAAAGCTAAGCAGAGAACTAAAAAGATAATGGTAAATATTTGCAATATCATTGTCGATATATTATGTATACACACACTAAATTCTTGCTTTTATAGAGATCTAAAGGATCAGATACCCAGATTCGTCGAAACGAAATAGAAATGTTTTTTCATAAATTACAGCAAGTAGTAAAAGAATCTCGTAATGATGGTCAAATCTCGCAAGGTAATAACTCTCGAGTAATTTCAAGGAAGAATATAACCTACGCTAAGAAATTGATTTCGTGTTACTTCGCGCATATTAAAGAAATAATTAAAACATTACTTATTTTAGATTGTACTCTGCTTCATACCAACAATAAGAAACAGGCATTGCCAGAAAGAGATTCTACATTTATCCATACGAACACTCGCAATGAAGGCCGCGATAATTATACGTGTCGTTGCAAATATCTTTCAGAAATACCGTCGAATATGTTTCCGCCGTTCTACAAGAGGATATCTAGCTCTATAGGACGATATGAGGTTGAATTGAATTTTATTCAGGCTATAGTTTGGTTGAAATCCGTCACTGCCTGCATACCTCAAATATCAGTCGAAAAATTGCAACAGTTATTTGATAAGCAATGCAATATGCGCGATAACTATAATTATGATGAAAATAGACATGTCAAAGATGTTGATGTTGAATCGTCATTAACAATTCCTATAAATAAAACTCCATCAATACACGAGATGCTCAACAACAGTGAAGAATTCATAACGTCGAATCTTAGAAATATTTTTGATTCCTCATATAATGTTATATCTCCAATGATTTATAAATCATATATCGAGCCTGAAGATATACAAAGCCAAACATTTGACTTTATATCCTCTTCGAAAGATCGAAATGAATCGGTCGCAGAGTTCTCGAAGCCAGAAACAAATACTTACGCCATGACCAATCAAAAAAGGAGGAAAGAATTTTTATCAAAACCTTGTATAATTCCGGATTTATATGAAGATCCCTTGTCGGATATGAATGACTTATTTGAAGAATCTGATAATATGCAAAAACATCAAAATTATGAAAATGAGCAGATATCATCGAAAAATTCTAATAAACAAGTAAATAATGAAATTACCGAAGACAAAAGTATCTGTCCTACTTCAAAGAAGCCAGAAACAAGTACTAGTCACGTCATGACAAACCAAGAAAAGAGGAAAGAATTTTTATCTAAACCTTGTATAATTCCGGATTTAGATGAAGATTCTTTGTCGGATATGAATGATTTATTTGAGGAATCTGATGATATGCAAGAGCATCAAAATTTTGAAAATGAGCAGATATCATCGAAAAATTCTAATAAACGAGTAAATAATGAAATTACCGAAGACAAAAGTATCTGTTCTACTTCAAAGAAACCAGAAACAAGTACTAATTACGTTATGACAAACCAAGAAAAGAGGAAAGAATTTTTATCAAAACCTTGTATAATTCCGGATTTAGATGAAGATTCCTTGTCGGATATGAATGACCTATTTGAGGAATCTGATGATATGCAAGAGCATCAAAATTTTGAAAATGAGCAGATATCATTGAAAAATTCGAATAAACGAATAAATAATGAAATTATCGAAGACGAAAGTATTTGTTCTATTTCAAAGAATAATGCTGACATTTCGAATGAACATAGATCTGTTTCACTGGCAAGATGTCAATCTTTTGAGTCAATTCTTAATTTAAAATATAATTTTGATGACGAATACATTACACCAATGACAAGCCAATACGATGCAAATAACAAAATGAAGACGCCAGATTACCATAATCCTACTAATTTTACTAATTATTTAAGTAACATAAATTTTTCTGAAATAATTTCTCCAATTTCCTGTATGATACCTCGGGAGCAGAACAAAGCCAATAATTTTCAAACCGGTCAAGCGCAATCAAAAACTTTACATGATTATAATGACGAAGATTTCGAATATGATATCAACGATAACAGTCTCTGTACATCGATGAGTGATACCGCTGCTGAAAACCAGGATCATGACAGTGCATACAGTACATGGAAAATTGAGACACTTAATTATGATGCTGCAATAACAACGAAACCTATTACCGCTAATAAGCGCAAATCGAATGCTAATATCGGGTGCCATTATAATCTACGATCTCATAAGAAGCACATAGAAGTAACGGTTTCTCCTTCATTGATACAGAAACCGGTACGTAGACGACCTTCTGCGGGAAAGCGATGTTCATCAAAGAAGCGTAAATCGGAACCTGCGAAGGATCTGTCAAAGAAAAAAAAGGGGAATAAAGATGAAGTGATCTCTGCCAGCTGGTTGGACTTTACTATAGAATTGTTGAATTCAGAACACGTAATTCTTACATCAGTCAAGATAATCCTTTCGACGCTTTGTGACAAGAAAACAGCGCAAGAATATGCCGTACATAGATGTTGGAAGGATAGTTTGGAAGAGCAAGCTATAAACGCGGTGTTGAATATAGTGGATATTCTTAAGATGGAGAAGAAGCCCGATATATGCGCAAAACAAATCGAAAAGACGATAATCGAAACTTTGGACGAGATGCTGACAAGTTTACAATTAAATGAGGTATGTCACATGTTATATATATACATATATATATATAAATATATATATATATATATATATATATAAACGCATCTTTTTATTTACAAGTATCATGTTATAATAAGCGATACGTATAATAATGCATGAATATATACGCATTATTTTATTATACATATATTACAATAAATAATAACAATAACAATCTTTTTTCTAGACATTTATATGGATATATCGCATACAAATAATTCTAAAATTTTGTAATCTGTTGTCGATATGCATCAAAACGATAAATTATCTGATTATAATGTTAGAAACGCTTCAATACGTGCTGATCAACGCAGCGAACGAAAATGAACGGACTACAGAAATTGAAATAAATCAGTTGCATTTAGTATCTTATGCGCTAGACATGGCTTTACGGACATATCGTATATTAGTACCAAGAGACAAAAAATCTCAATCCGCGGAAAATGCGATACCTTACGTCGCAGATCTTTGGAAGATGCGCTATAGAATTGAAAACGAGAAACTCGAAGATACAAGCTTCGATCTAGATGCTACTGAGAAAAAATGGATAAACGTATTACAAAAGTTCACAGTAGTATCCGTGAAACATTTGGTACAATTCACTGACATTTCATTTTCGCTATATCACATATTAATCTCGGCTTAACATGAATATGACATAACGTATGACTTCTAACGTACGAGTTGCTGTATTAAAAAGTTATGTTTAGTTTCTATATTCTTTTTAGCGTTTAACAATTAAAAAATGTTTATTTTATATTATTATATACAGTTTTATATTATTAATTAATAAGTTATATTATGTAAAAATGTTTCTCTGTATATTGTACATTACATCTCTAAGCGTTAAAAGGTGCAAAGTATAATAAGATAAAAATTAATAGCAATTTCTCGCTATGACACGAAACGGATCCATTGCAATTCAAAGTATCCATTTTTTTGCTTTCTTCTAATTGATCTTCTATTTCTGTAGAGTTCTTGACGGACCATCCGCATAAAGATTGCGGATTCTTTGGTATCCAATCAAAAGTAATATTTATTAAAGTCTGCAGTGGCCATATCTCTGTGCAGTTTGATAGAGTCAGAGGGATCGTCGTGCCGTCGATACCAGTATAATAATTAATCTGAAATAATTTCAATATTGTTTAAAATTTACGAGGATAATTGTTTTTTAACTTATACATATAGAAATAAAATGATGAATTCTTGAACAATTTGGCGGGATATAGTTGCAAAAAAGTGAGATAAAATAATAAATAATATACACACACACATGAAAATAAAGTAAATGTTACCTTCATTCCGTATATGTCTGTATCGTTATCGAAATATAATTCGAATATTAATGCTGCCGCTTCGTTAGGCATATGAGGCGACCACAGATCGAGATTTTTCAAAACCCCGACAATGTTTCTTTCGTCGCCGCTGTACAATATTATTTTTTGTTTTTTCGATAAATTGCCTGTTTTGTACTTTAATGAATTGCCGATAATCTCTTTTAAAAGAGTTCCACCGTTAAGCTGCCTTTGCAGAGGAGTCGTCGAAAGGAGATCATACTCTAGTAAGATGACGTTATACATGGCACCGTCGGGAAACACGTCGATCGCCCAATTGGGCAATGTTTTATTTTGATCAGCCTAGATAAGAAATTTTTATTGTCATATAAATCGCGCAATATTACACTGATAAAATGTAATTTATAATAATAGAATAATTTTCTGTATGTATTAATATTTTTAACGTATAACATTCAACAAATTTGTAAAAGAAAAAAGAGAATTTACAGATCTTCTTTTCCTTTTAAGATTAATTAATTAATGTTTTAGCAACTTAATTTATAAAATATTATTTAAAAAGTATCATTTAGGTATTATTTAAGTGTTTCAATAAATATTATTTATTATTATTATTATTTAAAAGGACATTAATATAATTAAAAGTATTATTTAAGAAAATACACACAGCATCCAAAAAAAAGCATTAAAAAAATTTCACTAATTTTGATTTCTTTTCACAGGGTTACCATAGTTTCTAAAGTAGCATATAAGAGTACAACATCCGTTGGCGTGCTAATATTTCTTCTAGTATATCGAGAAAGATGATCGAACAAAGGTTGATACCGTGCTGTCATCTTTTGCGTTTCAGTTCTTCGCAATACTTGGTCCATTTGTGAAACGAAATTTGGACACAGGAAACCCAGTAGCAATGTGTCTTTCTCCAGTTCCTGATATTCTGCAAAAACTTGTCTATTATATAAAAGAATAAGCCGTATTTTAAAGTACGCAACTTTTTAATCCGAATATATTCTCTCTCTCTCTCTCTCTCTCTATATATATATATATATATATATATATAGCGTATATATATATATATAGAGAGAGAGAGAGAGAGAGAGATATTTATATCTACTTTTTACAATAATCTTTCTAGAATTTTATAATAATCTTTTTATAGGATTTATATATTTTAAAAGAGTGTAAAAATAATATTGAGAACATGTTAATTTTTGATTTGAAAAGATTGTTCTGTGCTGATTAACGAGAAACGATTCCATATTCATTTACTAACCGCTCGGTATCGGTTGCCAATTGAGATCTTCAAACCATATTTGATTTATCGCGGGGGGCCATAAGCCGGCATTGACAAGCTGGGCTGATAGCATTGATAAGGCGTACTCAGTCGTGTGCATCTTTGTGACATCGGGCGTATATATGTCCCCTAAAAATTCGTCGTACCTCTCGCGCAGATACACCCCGAGATTATACATGTTGAGATTCGCTTTCTGTTCAATAAAAACATAACAATGGTCACAATTTTCTTCTAATTAGATACACATTTTATACATACGTATATCGGAATTAAAATATGATATTGCACGTACTATCGGCATGCTCATCGTGGCGGAAGTAAAGTATTTGTACGACAAGATTTCCGGGATGCTTGTCTCGTTTCTCTTCGCGTCGTCTTCCCTCGGCGCGTACAACTTATGCGTGAACAACTGCGACCATAACATATGGGTTTATCATATCTTTTGTTACATTTATGCTGAAAGATTTGTACTTACAACGTGCAACAATTTTAGTTCTGGCACAGCTAGGCTGGGAATTATGAAGATGCATAATATGAGTTTAACGCAGACGAAACGTAGTCCATTCATTTTTGCACGTCTCTTCCTTCGGGAGATGTAGATATATACATATGTTTACAATTCTGTATAAATTGGCTGAGGTAGGGGAAAGGCCAAATAAAGCCTCTGAATTGTTTGTCAACAATGATGAATATGACCATACGGCATAACGAAGAATTTCGCAAGTGGCATCAGGTAATAGATATAATACACAAATGCAACGTAAATAAAGAAGATATTGCTGTAACAATTAAACTTTCCATTTACGAGTCAAAGATAAGCGGAATTACTTTCTATCAAATTCTTTTTTTATTGTTCTCATGTCGAATTTAAATTACAATAAGTTGACAGCTCTTCTTCTTTTTTGAAATATTTGACATTGTCTGATTTAAAATTCGCTTTTCACGAAGAATTTTGAATTAGCATGTGTGCGTGTATGTAATACATATGTGTATGTATATATAGATATACTTGTTTTATTCTAATAACTCTTATACCTTATTTTAATAATTAAGTGAATTTATAGAGATGAAAGCTGAATGACGTAGAAATATCGTATTTGCCACTGGTTACATATAATTCGTGATAAGGATTTTTCTCGTTCACATCCACATCCGTAAGGACAATCGGCCTATCCCGCGATATTTCCGAAAGGTACGAGTAACCGCGACCACTTGTATCCGCTACTGACTGATAAATGCAGAGTTATCAGGGTGCGTATGAATAATTAAGACATGCGCGACAAGCTAACACGATTTATGACATTTTCTTTCGCTTTCTTTATTGCCACTGCAACATGATTATTCCCATTTAATTAGCTGTATTTGAAATTTTTATATGTAAATTTTGTATGTAATTAATAACTTATCCATTATTCCTTTGTGGATAGTATATCACTTTTTTAATCATCGATTAATTTTTTTCTCAATCAACTTGATTGCACTTGATATATTTCACATATTAGAGAGAAAGAAGGAGCAAGAGATGGCAGAGGAGAAGGGGGGAGGAGGGCTAATCAAATATAATCGAATTATCGTTATTATTAATGAATTATTACTAATAACGAGTTTCACATTGCGCAAGATAATACTTAAACAAACACGCGAATCTGAGACGTTGATCACTAATTTAAATTTATAACGCAAAGAACTTAATAGCTTAAAAACTCTCGTAAAGGAATTACTTTGCACACTTCATCGTCGATTCACGATTTAAACGGTACCTTCGAAATGTTTAGCTTTCGATTCTTCGCGTTTCCTCTTCTCGAAGAAACTGAATAAAAACTTAGCGATTCAAATCCACCTTACCTCTTGATTTTGCGTGTCATTCTATCTGTTTTCATTTATGTTTGTATGACGATAACAATTAGATGACTCGACTGAGATGCCAGATAAGTATATTCCGAACTTATTTGGCAGATCACTATACAATACTTTTGCATTAGCCATCAAATTATATATATTCGGAAAAAATATGGAATTGTTGTAATATTATATTTGCAGTTTTAATAAAAATCATGCTCCTTGTTTGTGATCTTGATAATTATTAACATCCTGAAAATGCAGAATAACTATATAAGATTTTTCAAAAAATTAATAAAAATTTCAATATTTTTTTCTTTTTATTTCTCTTTTGTAAAATGTTACATTTATACATTAATAAATTATTTATTAGCATTAAATTAAATTATTATTAAATATAATTTTTAATAATTATATATGATATTACGACATTTATATATATAATATTAATAATGTGATTGATATTTATACAAAATGACATATATATCTATTCACATATTAATTTGTATATAAATATATTTTATATATCTATATTGATGTTACGCTGTAACACGTGATTCATGGATATAGCACGTGATACACGTAATTGAATCATTATGTACGTAAGCGTAAAAAAAAGCGGGATCGACGACGATTATGCATGTTAATTACAGTAGAATGATAATAGTACTACATCATAGGCATAGTAACGATGTCTTACGAAAGTCGCAGTCAAGGCAAAAATAATTTAAATATTTCAAAAGAATTAAACGCTTTATACGATAACGCTAATGTTTGTATGCCTAAATGCATTCCATCATTATTGATAAAATATCGCAACACCATATATATATTGTATGTATGTATATATGTATGTAGATATATAATAGTGCAGAGGATTATATGTCTCCATTGTCTCTCACGAGAGAAATGTCTTTAACGCATAGATAACAAATATATCATAGATATAAATCATGTCTTATCTTATTGTTAGAATACATTGAGCAGGCAAAAATAATCATGGATCCTTTCGTTTGTCGTTTAATTATGACTGTTATCCGATAAGCCATATGATATAGCAGCATTTGCGGATAATAAAACTTACATTATAATGATATAATACATCGGAACGGAAATTAATTAATTCTTCTAAATATCATTAATTATGACCGAATTTGATTGTAATTATAGGGAAGACAATGAGACTAAGGCGAACAAGAGTGGTATAGCACAGCTATTTTTTAGATTTGGTTTTAGATATTTTCTACTTAAGATGATTTATATGAAAATTTCGAGGAAGAGAAAGATACATATATATATGTATTTTTCTCTTTCTCGAAATTTTCTTATGAATCATCTTAAGTAGAAGATACCTAAAACCAAACCTAAAAAACAGCCCTGATTTATATACATATATAAACCTCTTCCCACTTTTTATCCATTGAATCGTGATTATGCAAATATATAGCATATTATGCATATATACAGAGTCATTTCAATTTCAAAATTAGGCCACAGATGTGCAATATACTCGTTGTAATAATTAATAGCTGTTAAACGAACGATGTTATCACCGGAATGGTAGCGGGAAAAACATCAGAATTACGAACGGATCACTCTATCGGACATTCCTGATTTGCGCGATTTGATAAGTAATTTTTGCTTTATGTTTAACGAAGGCTTTTATATTCATTACGAAGAATATGTATTTTGCCGAAAGTCATTCATATTCAATCATTTATAACGTGAGGACTATCTATATATCTCTGATGAGAAAACAATTGTTTTAAATTATCTAAGGTTGGTCTAATCAATTGGTCTAAATTGTCTAAGAAATCTACAATCTGGAATGAAAGTGGAATAAATTTTTTGAACACATCTTCGTGTAGAGAGTTTCATGATATCCAAAAAATATTCGTATATTCGATTTAAAATATTATAAAAAATAATTTTGAAGTATCATAAATTATTCCAATTGTGTATGAAAATTATTATTATTGCTGTGACATGAATGGTAGATTAACATTAAAAACAGGTTGACAAAGATGAAACGATTAATCTCTTAAAAATTTTTTTTTGGAGAAAGTAAACTTACGAAACAGATATGCAAATATTGAACGATGATATTAATATTACTAAGATAAAAAGTAGTTTATGATCGCAAACATTCACATGTGTTGCTATTCTGAGCCGGAGTTGTTTTGATCCTTCAAATTTTTATTGAAGTCATCTCGCAATCAATCGAATTATACGGATTTCGCATAATGCATGTGATTTATGACGAATCACGTGAATGTGAACTTATCTACATCCTTTAAGCATTATCTGAATACGGTTTGCGGATTATTTTTTTATTTACAATTGTATAATTAAAAACGTGCCGTTATAAAAATAAATTTTGCGGCAAAATTATTTTTATTTAATTATCCCAATTTTGATAAAAATTATTTTACAACGTTTTACGTTGTTTCAGACAATATCTGAAGTATAATTAGGCAAAATAATATCACTTCTTAACTATCACGATTACATATTACAAATTAACAATAATTAATTAAAATATACGTAAAAATCATTTATCTGTCAATTATTATTTATCTTTTAAATGTCTTAAATTTTGATCATTTGCAAAATAATTTTAAGAATTAGTCTCTCTTAATAATAATCAGTTTGTCTGTCGATATAAATAAATATAGAATTTAAAGATTATAAAAACCGAATTGTAAAAAAGTAGAGATTTTTTTTTATACAGTACATTATATATTGATTTTTAAAATAAACAGCAGATTTGTTTGATTATTGTATTAGTATGTGTTCATATAATAATTTGATATTCTTGCAAATAATCGCGCTGTTATGGATAATATGCTAATGATCTTGTTTTTGAGTAGCAAGCAAAAGCAATTGAATGGCCATTACATTTATGGAAACGAGGCCATTCTTCTGTGTCTTCGTTGCGATGATTTTTGCATATCCGAACAGAACGGTGCACTATTATCTAAAAATTATTCTCTATCGCGATCTGGTTTAACGGAAGAATGTCAAATATTTTGTAAATGCATCGCGCAGATTATTAGAATATATCGCAGAGAGAGATATTGTTTAATACATGCATGAAATGTTTGAAAATGCGAGAATTGTGTATCAATGTGTAATTATTTGTATAACACGGTAGTAAGCGCGCTACGATTTGATTTTCATTTACACCTAATAGATTCTTTTCTAGTATTATAACAAAAAATTATGTCATTAATATAAAAATATATTACATCATATATATGTATATTATATATAATAATTTTCCATTGAATTAAACAAGACGTAAGAGGACACTTGAAAAAGGCATGTATATAGTCAAATTGAATTTTCATGGTTTTCTTCGGTTCTTATGAAACTTTCTATAATGGATAAAAATTACTTACTAATTCTCTTCAAATTTGTATTGTCAACATTGCAGAAATGGGTCCACAAAATGACTTTACATATCTTTTCCAAGTAGGATTATATATTATTTTTATTCTAAAACTTTATGCTAAAACTTTAATGCTAAAACTTTTTTCGTGGCATTTATTAATTTTTTTCTTAAAAAAAATTAAACTGAATTAAATTTAAATTTTCTTAATTTTATCATTTGTGCTACTATACATATAAAAAAATAACTCGGTATGAATTAATTACGAGCTTCGAAAAAATTATATCAAGAATCACGGAAGAGCATTGTTGTATTACGCGGAAATTTCATAAATGTCCTTAGAATACTGAATATCCGTCAAAACATGAACAAATTATAGTCAATATAAACATATATGGTATTATAATTACATTATGTAATATCTAGTTACATTGTTCTTCACAAAGCAAGAGAATCTCGAGATTTTAATCAGATAAAATGATATAAAAGTTATGTGATGCCTTTAATACGCTTTATGCATTATATAATATTGTTTGTCTGCATAATTTTCCCTGGACGTAAAAAATGACAGATTTCGACGTTATATGATTTGTTTTTAAATTTATAATAAAATTCATCTGAACACCCGTAGAGAGAAATTACTTATACATGCGAATAGTCCAAATATAAACTGGGATTTATTTATAATGAAAAATTACATTGTAGAATTGTCCAAGTAGCGACACAATATCATATAATTATTTTCTTGTTAATGAAATTATTAAATCAACAGAAATTTGGAGGCTAGACCCGATGTTCAATTTAATAAGAAGACTCTTTTAAAAACTCAAGTGTACGATTAGGTAAATAAAAAGAAAAAATGACAGGGAGATTATATAAAAAAAATTTAATTTCTGATTTATTTTTAGAAATAGACTTATAATAAAAAATTTGGTTTATATTTAAACTATCCTATATATATCCTATATATATTTAATCAAATAATTGTTTTTTGATTCTTATTGGAATAAATACATAATCCGTAATATTTTAAGACTGATATTGTGACACACGTAATGATACACGAACAAAACTATAATTAAGTTTTCACGGATATTCCATTTACTCAGTATTTTTCAGAACATTTGTAAAATTTCCTGTTATGATGCGACGACGACTCTTCCGTGATTCCCAACGTAGTTTTCCTCAGAGCGCGCAATTAATTTATGATGCTGGGGGATATCCTTTTTGGAATCCTTCCGAGAAATCTTGAAATCTCTCGTAAATTCTTAAGCCAATTTTCTTTTCGTGCGCAATATAAATAATATTGTATAAATAAACATTTTGTGTGAGATATATTTTATTATTTTAAACAAATTAATTTTTTTATTATATAAAATTTTAAAAATAAATTATTTTATAAATAAAAATCTTTTATTTACTAACAAGAGCCCGCGGTGTTATGACTGGTCATGCACTGAGAAAAAAAAGTTGTTAACTTGACTAAATGCGTTCAACTAATTATTATTTCTTTAATTGAAATATTTAAGTATTTAAATTAAATATGACATATTAAATCTAACATGACGTATTTGACTTAAGTACTTAAATATTTTAATTAAAAAAATGATAATCAGTTGAACGCATTTAGTCAAGTTAACAACTTTTTTTTCTCAGTGTGACGTTCACGGTTTGGACAGGAAATACGATATGGTGGGGTGTACGTTTCTACATCTTAAAAGCCTTATGTATCGTACGCAAGAGTCAGTTTTCAATTAATCCTTGCAAACGGTAGTTTGATAACTGTTCTCCTGTTCAAGTTTAACACAATCGGCATCGATTCAATAGACGCTGAAAAACATAATCCGATCATTGACTTTCAAAGAACGTCCTTCGATCACCACCATAAATACGTATGTCAAGTTTTATAGTTTTCGAAATACATATATTTCGATAGAATTGCAGTTATTTACATAATAGAATATACCGATTTTTACTAGTTATAATAATTTTTTAATAATTATATAAATGCCATCTTGCTTTCTCTTCTTGTGGAGGATGACATTAAGCTAAAACATTTGCATTTTATTTTATTATAATGCATGTATAGACAAATATATATCAAATTGAATTTCCAACTTTGAATTTTATTCATCATATTAATGAGTATTTATAAATATTGGCAAATCTCTATGTATGTATTTTTTAGATGGATATATATTTTTTTGATAGCTGCTTTTACTCGAGATGCATTTTTATTAATCTATCGATATTGCAAAATTATTTTTGACTGAAAAGTCAAAGGATTTAAATCTAATGACATTATATTCTCAAATTAGGTGCTTGCAACATGATCTCGTGCCGTGTTTTCGTAAATCATCTGTCGATTATTTTAGTCATCGCTTTAAATGCACTTCTAATCGCAGGTGTGCAGCCTGAGCTTAAATTAGTAAATGTGGTAAGTTGTTACAATTTAATAAAACAATTAAGCATTTTATATAAAACAAAAGCCAAATTATTTTCTAGATTATTTTTCTCTGATATAATTAGTCTGATGATTTAATTAGTCTCACTAATTATATTCATTTATTAATTTATGCAGGTATTCAGACACGGCGATCGAACGCCTGATAATAACGGTCGTGAAATGTTTCCGAAGGATCCATATATAAATTACTCTTTTTATCCAACAGGTCTCGGACAGTTGACTATAGTAAGTAACATAATATTAAGAAATAAAATAAAACGACATGCGGCAATCCTATGAAGAATATAAATTAAAATATGAGTTAAGATAATTTAATTGTTAAGAAATTTCAAGAATTTTCTGTATGATAAGTAAATAAAACTTGTGAAGCTAATTCCTTTTTCACAAGAATTAAGACTTTGTAAACTTTCATCAAATAAATTTAATCAATTTTTTTTAATTTATCAATCTTTTCTAATCCATATATTTTTTTAATTAATTAAAGACACTTAAAATTTGACAAATAATTGATGAAAGATATGTAAACTTTCTTTCCGTAGGAGGGTAAAAGACGAGAATATAAGTTGGGCCAAATCTTACACTTTAGGTATAATAATTTCCTGGGCAATCTATACAAACCAAAGCTTGTCGTAGCTCGTAGCTCAGATTTCGAGAGGACAAAAGTGTCCCTGCAACTTGTTCTTGCTGGCTTGTTTCCGCCGATTGGTGTCCAACGATGGAATTCTCGTTTAAATTGGCAACCGATTCCAACATCGTACACGCCACGTGTCGATGACAATCTTATCCTGGCTGACGAGTGTCCACAGTAAGTATGACAAACAGCGAATAAATAAAAAACAGCAAATTAGAAATTATTCTTTAACTGCGAGAAAACGTAGATGATGTTAAAAAAAGATAATATAATTCTTGTGAGATTGAGTTTCAAGATTTCTTGTGCAATAAATAATTGAAGGTTGTGAGGCTAGTATCTGTTTTATATAAGAAAAAGAATTTAATAATTATAAATGTGTGGAAAATGTGAAGAAGGATAAGAAAAATACATTCTTATGCTTTCGCTCGAAGATTCATACAGGAAGCAAGAAATTCATATTTTGATATATTTTCAGATACCTTAATGAATACGATCGAGTATTGAACTTGCCTGAAGTGCAAGCAAAACTATATCAATTCAGAGATTTAATGAGCAATTTGACAAAGCTAACTGGCAAGAAAATAAATACGATCTTCGATTTGTATTTTCTTTATCAAACTTTCGTAGCAGAGTCTTCCTTAGGATTGCCGCTTCCCGAATGGGTGTATAACTATTTTCCTTATGGTCCATTATTCGACGCAATGGTGGCCATGTACGATATTACTAATTTCACTCCTTTATTAAGAAGATTGTTTGCTGGTAAGTTACGTTCACTTTAAGCATAATTCGTATATTTTTTAGCGTTTGGCAATATATTAATAATATGTATTAATATATTAAAGTAGCGCATAATTATATATGTATATGTACATATGTATGTATATATACACATGTATAGTAATTTGAAATTTATTTATCAATCGGAAATATCAAAATCGGAAAAATCAAAATCAAATTTTCTTTTATTTATATGTAATTTTAATTTAGAAATAAAAATATTATTATTTAATTTAGAATTTTTAAAAATGAAATTTGTTTTAATTTGACAATGATGAATTCTTTGGCGATTAAGTAAAATTTAGTTGTATGCATGTACATACGTATATATATTTCGAATTTTCTATTATTATAACGTCACGATCTTTATTTATGATATATCTTTACTTTGTTTCAGGCCCGATCATTCGTGCCATGACAGACAATATGATAACCGCGCAAAATGCGAATTCGCCGGACACAAAGATTTATTTATATAGTGGTCACGAGACCAACATTGCGAGTTTATTAGAAGCTTTCGGCGTGTACGAGCCGCATGTACCCGAATATTCCAGCGCAATTATTATGGAATTGCAAGAGATCAACCAAGAATATTATGTCAAGGTGAGTGTGTGTTATCAATAGTTTTATTATTCAATAATGAGAAAACATAACGTAAATTTAATTATTTGTATTGTGCAATGAATTTTTGCAGTTGCTGTATTATCGAGGCATTCCGCCAACTATCAAGGAACTGAAAATCCCAGGTTGCGATGTGCTCTGTCCTTTCGACAAGTATTTGGATCTAATTGAAGATCTGATTCCGTCCGATGACGAGATGGTTTGCGACAAAAGGCAGACACCGGATTTTGCCGACATAGAATATCCTGCCGGTTTGCAGAGAATTATGTACAACTTGATTAAGACATCAGCAATGGATAGAAACACATAAGCAATAACGCACATATCGTGATAACATCAGGCGCGAGATGAAAGTACCCCGTAAACATATAAAAATTAATTAAATTAGTTACATTTTCTTTATTATGATACATCACGATCAAGTTATTTTTTATGAAACATTTCTTTTTTTTTATTTATTCAAATGTCATATTAAACATTCATTAACGTATACATATAAACTCGACTATTCAATTATATTTAAATGATCCAGTAAAGAGAGAGAGAGAGAGAGAGAGAGAAGTAATGTAAGAGAAACTGATAAGAATTTATCTTTCTAAATCTAAATCATAAATTTTTTTTTATTCTTTTATATGTGTGTATATATATGTATATGTGTGTGTGTATGTGTGTGAATATATATATAAGTATATGTGTTTATTTTGTTTACATAAGAAAGCGAAGTATTATATATTTATTATGAACCAAATATACAAATGTACACTTTAAAGAATTACGATTCATCGTTTTGATACTGATTTTTTATGAAATGTTTAAGGAAACAATATACAATATAATAATTATAAATGATTTTCGAATCTCTCTTCGTATTATCCCAATTAATTTGCGGTACTTCAAGTAAAATATCGTCTATTTTACAAACTATGAGAAAGATCTTTTATAGATCCCTCTTTCATATTTTTGATGTGCAATAAAATCTGATTAGTACTATATAGAAAATTCAGAGAATACTTTATTTCGATCAGTGATTCTCGAAAAATGTTTGCGATTTGTTTAAAAAATATTTTGGTAAGCTTGCATAATTATTTATATAATAAAATATTAATTCTAGACTAAAACGTGTCATAATAATATAATAATTCTTTAATAACTGTAAAAGATGTTTTTCTCTTTCTTGTAGTAGTAAAAATTAAGCCTTTTCGCAAGTTAAAAATAATATAAAAATAAAATATTTGCATTTCTAATTATTACATAACAAAAACAAATATATAAAATAAAATTTAAATGCTGTATATAATTTAACAATTAGTATCTAGATAGAATCTGTATCTTGCCGCAAATTTGTATTTAAATAAAAGTACATAGATAAACGAATTTTACAAAAAATCTCTTAGAATTTATATTTGTATGTTTATACTTGTGGATACTCAATAATAAATACATTGTAAGAAGAATCTGTCGTAAACCGGGCCTGTAAATCAGAATCTGGCGTCACAAATTTATGATCGCATAGTAGACGTATTGGATCCAGCTGTTCAATATTTTGCCAGACATATCAATTCACATTCAGTGGTTTATACGCTTTGGTGGATTTTTATACAAAGCAATAGTAAACTACTTCCTATCACCACTGTAAGAAAAAGGCCTTTTATCAAAAAGTTTTATAAGCAAGGCCAACTCGAGCAAGGTCTTGTTGAAGATTATATTTATCATAATTATATATATAAATATGGGATGTTTCTGCACTTATTGATAGTTCTTCAGTCAAATGAGGCCTTTTATCTCTTACAACATATTAAAAAACGTTTTAAACTCTTTATCCTTATTTACTTCTTATCTTTATCTTATATTCATTTTATGGTTTACGTAAGCATGCTATCTCTTGTACGTTTATTTCGAACAAAGGAACATAATTTTTATGTACATTTTTACAACTGTTTATATGAAGCTGAATTTATCAGTTTTATCGCAATCACGACATTTATCATTCTCGAATGAGAATTAACTATAAGTCTAATGGCATTACATTTTCAGATTAGGTATCAGCAACATGATGTCGTTCTGCATTCTCGACAATTATTTGTCGATAGCAGTAGTCATCGGTCTAAACGCGATTCTGATCGCAAGTACACAGCCTGAACTGAAATTAGTTAATGTGGTAAGATATTGTTGTTAATTTTTTATATTTAAGACAAACTAACACACATTTAGCGCTTTAAATAAAATTTAAATCAATTTCTTTTTTCCGGATTATCTAAATTTGCGATTGCAAATAATTAAAAGTAATTATTTTCATGAAATTTTTATATAGCTATTTAGACATGGCGATCGAACACCTGATAATAACGGTCTTGAAATGTTTCCGACTGATCCATATATAAATAATACATTTTTTCCGACAGGCCTCGGTCAATTGACTAATGTAAGTAACATAATTTTATTTTATTTTACTTTGATATTTTCTGAAAAAGAAGTAGAATGAAAGAAATGGATTAATGGAAATATTATAAAATAATATCTGTAAAATTAAATATTTACGTTTCAAAAATCGAGAATTAAAATTTTCAAAAATGTTTTGGGAGAAATTATAAAGCTAATACTTTTAATGCTAATACTTTATTGTTTTCGAAGAATAAAACTCTTCGTAAAATAAATTTCTATCCATTCTTTTTTAATGTAGAATATGTTGATTTAAGATAAATTAAATACGCTTTAATATTAATATGATTTAAAATTAATTAATTCATTTTTGCAACTATTTATGCAATTTCTATAGCAAGGCAAGAAACGCGAATATGAATTGGGACAAGTCTTGCGCAGCAGATATAAAGACTTTCTGGGTGATTTGTATCTGCCGAATTTGGTCGTGGGTCACAGTTCGGATTATGATAGAACAAAAATGTCCCTGCAACTCGTTCTCGCTGCCTTGTTTCCGCCTACGGATGCTCGGCAACGATGGAACGCTGATTTAAACTGGCAACCAATTCCGACGAGATATATTTCACGTGTCGACGACAATTTCTTCTTGTCTGACGAATGTCCACAGTAAGATTGACTAATGTTATCAAATATAAATCAAAGGAAATCACAAACACAAAATTATTATTTAAATGGAAATTTCTATCTATCTGTATCTAATATAGATTCTTTGATATATGTATTTCCGAAAAAATAAAATACAATATAGTAGAACATTAATAAAGAAAATATATTCTAAAAAAACAGCTTTATATATTATAAATGCGAAGAGATAAATATTTTTTCAAGCTCAAGATTTATGCAAAAGAGAAAGAGATTTATATAATTAAGATCTCTGTTCCAGATTCCTCGACGAATACGATCGTATACTGAATTTGCCCGAAATAAAAAAGAAGATCTCCCAATTAAAGGACATGATGAGTAAGTTGACGGAATTAACCGGTAAGAATATCGAGACACCTTGGGATTTGTATTATTTGTATCATACTTTTGTATCGGAGTCGTTCATGAATCTAACCCTTCCCAAATGGGCGCACGATTATTTCCCTGATGGTCCATTGTTCGATGGAATTGTACTCGCATATAATGTTTATAATTTTACTCCTTTAATAAGAAGGATTTTTGTTGGTAAGATATATCTAGAAAATTTTTTATCTTTATAGTTGTACATATAAATTTTATAGATTTTTCTCGCTCGATATATATTCGTAAGAGAGCTATTTTCTGTTTCAGGCCCGATGATTCGCGCGATATTGGACAATATGATAGCCGAAAAAAATTTTAATCCATCGGATACGAAGATTTATTTGTATAGTGGTCACGAGAGTAACATCGCGGCGATGTTGTACGCATTTAAGTTGTATATGTCTCAAATACCTGAATACTCTAGCGCGGTTATTTTAGAATTATTACAGCAAGACAAGCAGTATTACATAAAGGTGAGTCTATTATTAACCTATAATATTTCTTTGTCTCCGATTAATTACGTGCCGATGATGGTTCAATCTATAATTCCTCGAGATATACAGAATATCTTGGAATCGATGATAAATGTGTCATATCTTTTACAATGTGATTTTATCAATATTAGAATTAACATTATTTCTCTTACTTTTTATTATTCTAGTTTTTAATCTATCAGTCCTTTTCCGTGAAATCCGATCAGTTATAATTTAATAAAGGAAAATTAATTTAATAAAGAAATCGTAAATCAAGATAGTGATAGAGAGAGAGAGAGAGAGAGAGAGAGAGAGAGAGAGAGAGAGAGAGAAAGATTGGTTTCCTTATCTTCTACTAAAATAGAACACCGTTAATCTTTTTGTAATTTTATAAATCTGTTTTTATGTAGTTTTTATATTATCGGGGTATTCCGCCGATCATCAACGAGCTTCAGATCCCAGGTTGTGAAATACTCTGTCCTTTCGACAAATTCTCGGATCTAATTCGGGATCTGATTCCGTCCGACGAAGAAATGGTTTGCGACAAGAGGCAGACTCCGGATTATGCTAACACAGAATATTCTGTCACGTTACAGAGCATGATGTATAATTTAATAAAGGAAAATCAATTTAATAAAGAACGAAGCAATAACGCAATAAAGCATAGCGCCAATTAGAATGTTATACATCATGAAGTATTTTAAATATCCATAATTGTATTTAAATTTAATAAAAAATGACATTGCCATATCTCTGATAGAATATACGTGAACAGTTGAGTGTAATAATACAGTTATGTAATGCTTCATGCGAAAAAGACATTGCAAATGTAATTTTTTTGAAAAAATATAATTTTTATTTATTTATTTGACTTATATTACACACTCAAATATCAGTGAATCATCTTTATTCGCCAATATTAAGTGATTAAAAAAGAACTTAAAAAGTGGAACTTAAAAAGTTAAAAAAGTTTGTTTTTTGCTAATTATGATTTTAATACATTGCAAATCAAGAAAGTGAGATGAGTAGATGTAAAAAAAAACTGGATGTAGTAAAAAAGGAAAAAAATACGTATAGAAAATAACATCACAATAATATATTCGAAAATAGATGTTACCATAATAAAGGAATATACTAAACTAAATATACGATTAAACGTGTTTTCGTTTAAACGTATAATAGTGAGTTTTACGTATAAAAATGTTTTCCTACAAACGTTTTTCTAAAAGTAAATCTAAACGGATAAAACGGATATAACGTTTCACGTTTAGACGTATATTCGAAAAACGAAATAAAATAAGAGCCTTAGTTTTAACATGATTTCTAAATGTATTTTGCTATGCATGCATATAATGAACAAAAAATAGGCATGTATTTGTTTTCTTCTAAAAGAATTTTCACTTTTTCGGAAACAATAAAAATCTTTGAAATTCGAAAGATCTCTTACAAAAGTATGCATTACCTGGTGGAGACCCTTTTTGAGTTTCAAAGAGATATTTCTTTTGTGCGTATAATCACGTGACAGCTGTAGTGTATAGTAGGAGTAAAGTCTGGCCAATCAGCGCCGACCTTTAGCCGCGCGCCTGGTAGTGTGCGTGAGCGCTCCGTCGCTACGGCGACACACACTAACAGACGGGCGGCTCACTGACGTGCGTCCGGCTAAAAGTCGGCGCTGATTGACCAGACTTTACTCAATAATAACTCCTTTATTAAGCGTTATAGAAAAAAATGGTACAGGACTTTTCTGTTCAGTTTACTGTGCTCTACGTGCTCACGAGCGTTGTCAAGGGTGCTTTGGGACACCCTGTATAATATATCTGTGCTTTAAGTCGAGATTTTGCATTTATAAAAATAAAAGTAACTACATGGAATACTACTTTCCATCAAATGCTTTATAATTTTTTATTATTATTTGTGCCAGAAAGATTTGTAGAGAAATTATTGAATAGTTATACTTTAAGAAACAAACAGCACAAAATATAAGATATACTTTTATATATTATACATGATATTTTATAATCACATATAAATATATCACTGTTTTATTTCTCACATTCATTTTCCAAGCTCTATTATTTGTGCGTACAAAAATATATATGGTAATTTCTATTTAATCTACCCAGATAGCAAAATGCTAGCAGCATGCGCGCAGATTGGCAGCAAATTTAATCAGAATTCCATGCCAAAACCATAGCTTATACATAAAGTTTTATCAATTTTGATATAATTTTTCTGCAAAGAGTTCCAGCATTTCTTCTCTGGTTATATTGTCCCACAAACAAGTTACCTCCACGTCTAAAGGTATTATTTCACGAACAAGCTCCAAATATATTTTCAAAGGGCATATTTCGTCGCAGCCTGCCAGCTTGATAGTCATCAATTTTTCCGTAGAACCGGTCCACAGAATAATCTTTAAACAAAGAAATAGACGTTTAGAGAGTAATATAATTTTCAATTTAAAATATAATTTAATTTTTAGTTGCGGATTATATAACTGAAGATATAATTACTCTGATGTAAAAATTGTTTTCCTCGTCCCGCAACTTTTCGAATATAAACATTGATCCATAACCAGGTATTCTCGGCTCGCTGATATTATGTGCTCTAGCGAATGCCGCAAGATTCACTTCGTGGCCGCTGTACACGTACATTTTGCGCGGAATCGTATCTTCGCTCTTCGCGTTCATATTGTCGATGAACTTTTTGATCAACATACCGCCGTTCAATCGTTTTAACTTGGTTGTATATGAACGGATTTCGTACTCTAGCACCATTAGATCCTGCATCTTCCGGTACACTTCATCGGTACACCATTCTGGTAACGTTAAATTCATAGTTTTCTGAAATAAGTATATATATCATTATCAAACATTTACAAAAATTGAAAATTTTCAATAATTAAATATATAAATCTATGTTTAAACGATTAAATAATTTGTAATAATATTATAAAAAGAAAGACAGAGAGAGAGAGAGAGAGAGAGAGAGAGAGAGAGAGAGAGAGAAAGAGACAAAACTATAAATTTTCCATGAAAAGGAAATCTCCTGTGATTAAATAAATCCGATATCAATAATGATACGGTGGTGATAATGGGACGATTTCACGACTCGTTGCATGTAAGTCGCGCCTCCGAACAAACGCGGGACTTCACAATTTTTTAATCCACGGTTGAAATATCTAGAAATACACGCCCCAGAAATTTCTCCGATATATAACTGGTCCTACATTTTACTACCGTACAATAGCTGACAATTTTGACTTATACGTTTAATCGATTTGACTCTTCATCTGAAGCTACGAAAACCGAGAATTCACTTTACATGTACGCGACGAACATGGTGTTATCGTTCTTTCAGGCGTTAAGGAACGATGATATTAACGATAATACCTACGATAATATCTAACGAACTTGTCGTCCGATCGTATGGGCCATCATGGTCCGAACGAGGGCGAGATATCAGAAAGGACAAGTGGTCGTAATGCAAGGGGAGAAACGAGTTTCATACTAGCCAGAAGTTTCCCCGAGATTGCCAGTTACAAGAATAGTACCTCCGGTTTATCCTAGCGCCATCCCCCTCCGAAAACCGATATCTCGTCCGGAGCAAAGTTCGAATAAGTTGGTGGAAACGCAGGAAACGCAGAGGAAAAAGTTGATACCGCGAAATCGATATGGATGCTGCTTGTTTTCTCGAAACAGGTGTCACCAATTTCGCGATGAATAAAATCGATTACCTATACTTGTATTCATCTTAATCTTTCATTACTGTTTCGTGCCATTTTTTATCGCAATTTTTTTTATAACATGTATATATATATAATAAAATCGCATATAATATGTATATAATAACATAAATTTATAATATTAATAATATATATTAATGTAATATATATAGGAAAATTTGAATAATTTAATTTATGAAATTAAATCAAAATTAAAATATTTTATTTATATGGAAGTTAATTTCTATTTTATATCTTAAATAGATATAATAACAAACGATTTTCACTTATTTGGATAATTTCTTTCCGAATAAGTGAAAATCGGACATTTATCTGTCTGATTTTCTAAAAATCAGTTCAATATCTGAATTCCCGGTATGGGAGCCGTATCAGAAATTAAACTGATAGAAATAATTACGATGTTATTAGCCGCATTTTGCAGGCATTATATACGCTCGTGACAAGAACTTAAATACGGGTATGGAAAGTGAATAGTGCGCCGCATAGCTGTAAGCGAATAAACTATACTATTTCAATAAATTATATGAATGCTAAAAGCTGCAGATTCTGTTTGATTTCTACTGCCAATTTACCATCAGATTGCGCGCACGCAGATCTTGCTCGATTTCTGCCGACAATCTGATGTCAAGTCATGTTAGCAGATCCTGCTCGATTTCTGCTACCAATCTGCCGTCAGATTGCGGGCGCGCAGATCCTGCTTGATTTCTGCTATCAATTTGACATCAAATTGCGTTGTGCAGATCCTGCTCGGTTTTTGCTGGCTATCTGCTATAATAATTCTATGCAAATCCTGCTCGGTTTCTGCTACTGATCTGCTGTCAAATTATGTCAGCACGTTTTGTAACATTTCTGCTGACATTCTGCTATTATTATTTGATATAACAGACTTTGTATACAATCTGGAATCTTTCTGCTGACAAAAATTTGTAGCAGACGTTTGGCAAAATCTGTTCGAACAGACTTGGCTATCTGGGTATATAATACTTATACATAAAGTTTTATCAATTTTGATATAATTTTTCTGCAAAGAGTTCCAGCATTTCTTCTCTGGTTATATTGTCCCACAAACAAGTTACCTCCACGTCTAAAGGTATTATTTCACGAACAAGCTCCAAATATATTTTCAAAGGGCATATTTCGTCGCAGCCTGCCAGCTTGATAGTCATCAATTTTTCCGTAGAACCGGTCCACAGAATAATCTTTAAACAAAGAAATAGACGTTTAGAGAGTAATATAATTTTCAATTTAAAATATAATTTAATTTTTAGTTGCGGATTATATAACTGAAGATATAATTACTCTGATGTAAAAATTGTTTTCCTCGTCCCGCAACTTTTCGAATATAAACATTGATCCATAACCAGGTATTCTCGGCTCGCTGATATTATGTGCTCTAGCGAATGCCGCAAGATTCACTTCGTGGCCGCTGTACACGTACATTTTGCGCGGAATCGTATCTTCGCTCTTCGCGTTCATATTGTCGATGAACTTTTTGATCAACATACCGCCGTTCAATCGTTTTAACTTGGTTGTATATGAACGGATTTCGTACTCTAGCACCATTAGATCCTGCATCTTCCGGTACACTTCATCGGTACACCATTCTGGTAACGTTAAATTCATAGTTTTCTGAAATAAGTATATATATCATTATCAAACATTTACAAAAATTGAAAATTTTCAATAATTAAATATATAAATCTATGTTTAAACGATTAAATAATTTGTAATAATATTATAAAAAGAAAGACAGAGAGAGAGAGAGAGAGAGAGAGAGAGAGAGAGAGAGAGAAAGAGACAAAACTTTAAATTTTCCATGAAAAGGAAAATTGATATATGTTTGATCTGATATGTGAAATATTTTTTGTATAAGATGATTTAGTCATCTAAAAAAGTTTGGTTTACCTGCGCTGTTAGCAGATTGTGAATTTCGTAAACGAGCAGTGGTTCCTCGATCATTAATCCCGTTTTCTCGCTTAAAAATTTGAAGAAGTCCTTATAAACAGCGATTTTATCGCGTACTTCTTTCATCTTTTTTACCTCTGTTAAAGCTGTCTGGTATCTAAAAACATATTATAATTACAATAAATCATTCCTAGGAAAGTCCAGATTCTTTAACATTATATTTGTAATGTTAAAATATCTAGCTATTAAAAAAAATATATTTATAAGTATTTCTAGAATATTTCCAAATATATTAAAATATTGTCATAAACTAATTTTTTTTAAATTTTCAGTGCAACGCAATTAAAAAATTAATAATACGAAAAACTGCTAAGGAATTTGAAGATATGCTATTTTTAATATAAAAAATTTGTATAATAAAAATTTAATACTAACATTGAACAACCTTCAGGCTTTAATAGCATGTCCACTCTTTTAGGCACATAATGTGTAGGAATGGCGAGCCACGGTAAATCTGGATTCCACATTTGTATTGTATCCGGAGGATATAATCCTGCTAACATTAATTGGAGAGACATTTTTGTGCGATCGGTATCCGAGCTGACAGCATAGATATCACGCGGGTGATAAATCGATTCCAAAAAATGGTTGTAACGTTGTCTCAACATTGTGCCGATTCGATATTCCGTTAACTTTCCTTGCTAAAAAATTCCAGAAAAAGCGTGATTATTTTTCATAATTTATCGATAGTCCATCATATTTTTACAACCACTTAATATCTGTAATTACAGTCTCAAAAGCATACAAATGTAAAAATAAGCATTTCTTGTATATTAAATATATTTATAAAGTGATATTAATAATAAAAATATAAAAATATAAATTCATGAAATAATTGTAAATAAGGCAAATTTTAATTTGTATTATAATAATTTTTGGTTCATTATCTACAGATCAAAATTCGTGTTTATATAACATTATGTAGACAAAACTTTCAAAAATGTTTAGTTTAGTACGTGTGACTGATAAGAAGAGAGATAAATATTCAATGAATTAATATTTGATGCAAATTGGACAACATAGTAATTATATAAATTAAGTAATATAATCAATCAAAAATTGAGAATATGTAAGTAATATATATATGCGCAAACACAGACTTCTTACTTCAAATAAATAAAAATAAAAGATTTAAAATCTATATTCTAAACCCAAGTTAATAATATATCAAAACATATGTCATATAAAATGTCTAATATATATATGACATAATAATATTATGGAATACATACGTTTGCTTTTTTAAGATTAATACTATATTTAAACATTACTAAATGTAATATTATATACTATTAATATGTATATTACTTACATTGGTTAATTGGCCGATACCCCATGGTTCATAAGTTGATTCATTATATGGATCTTTGGGATACGTTTCTTTATGTAACGGCGTCCGTTCTCCATGTCTCATTACCTGACAAACGCGGTATATTCGAAATTGCATTACATTATTATCATTTATATAATATATGTAAAAAATAGTATATTTTATATTAAATAAATATTTAAAAGAAAAAGTTTTATAAAGATACCAATATCACACATTACATAATGTCAGATATATAAATTTTTACACTTACCACTTGAACCAATTCCAAATGAAGCACAGGTTGCTCTAAGGACACAAATAAGTTTAGCAACAATACAGACGTCTGCAGAAGCACGCGACACATTTTTCTACAATAAAGCGAATCCCAAAAATATATTATGTGTACAGATTATGAAAAGTAAGAGAGCGTATATCATCGCTCGGGATCAAGAGTCGATACGCTAGGCGTAAGACTGACTATAAGCTGATTAGCAACATACGGCATTGGAGAATGCGCATGTGTTTACATCATCACGATGTCCTCTCGTTATCTCTTTCTTACTCTCTTTGAACCGGTTGTTCTCAGAAATTCTCAGTTGGGAGTTCGATGAAATATCCTAATAAAAATTACGTAAGAAAACGCTGCGATAATCTTCGCTTTGATATGGATGTATTAAAGACATTTTTCTATGATAACAATAAATACTAAGATTATTGCTTAATAAGAGAGATAATAATATACATGTATTTGTGCAAAACGGTAACAAGGACAGCTGCTAGAAATGTACGATAGACAAGAAGGATGCACAGTAAAAGCAAAAACATTATCAGAATGATAATGTTGAAGATTACAAATAGATTGATCAGTTAAACCTACAACGATTTTACATTCGCAAAGCAAATTATTATGTGATGATTACAAATTGAAATTATTTTATTATATTTTATTTTTAATTTTTTTACTGAGAGCAGATATTGAAATTTAAAGTTAATTTATATTTGCATTAAAAATATCATGCCAATGACTGATGAGAATATTTTGAGATTCTTATCTCAATTTTAATATCACAAAGACAGATATCTATAAACGATGACTGTGATGAAAGTTTTATATTTAAAAAAGAAGATTTTCGCTTTTCAACGATAGGAATGTATATGTTATATTATATATATGAATGTTATAACGTTAAACTGATATCTGAGCTATTATTAATACATTAATTAAATTTTCTTCTGTGTATTGTTGTAATTAAAATCCTGCAAAGGAGATTGGCTTACGCGTGTTACGGCGTTATGTCAGCGATTTGACGTAATAAAAATATTCTAAACTAATGCTATTTTATTATAATCGTTATCTTTAAATACTGGTATTTATATAATAATTCAGTTGTTTTATTTAAATCTTTCGTTTCTTTTATTCAAGAAAGTTATTTACATATGAGCGCGCGGATGTTACTACTCTATTATATTTATGTAATAATAAAGTATAGTTATGCTGGTATTGCTCTGCAATTTGCGCAGTATGTATTTTGAGACTTGGCAGATCTCAGCAAATGAAAATATTAAATAAAGCTTTTGTTAAGATTTAAATTAAATGGCATAATTCAAAATTTTTAAAGAGATTTATATAAAGAAATAACTATATTGTATAATTATTAATAATTATCGCTGCTCTCGAAACTCTTTCGCATAATTCGACGTACAAAATCATGCATCTACACTGTGACATTTACGTACTTTTATCGCAAATCAGATTGAGCTCTTTTTCCATGCAATATTGCGCAATCGTGATAGATAATACGGCGTAGCAAAAGAATAATAACAGCGCCGAACGATGATAGGACAAAACATAATGTTGCATCATTATCGTGTTTGTGAAAAATCTGAATTTTACAGTCACTCTTATATAGATGTTAACGCATCCACATCGGGATGCGCACTGATCGAATCTTCCTAATCGTCGTTTAGTCTAGCTCGGGCTTAAGTACTGCAGTCGTGCGAGACATAGATTCCGCAGGAGTTACGTAAAAAAAATTTACATAAAAGATGTCAATCATATTGAAACATACTATCTGTTTTTGTTTCTGCTATTATTTCGTTTTTTATCCACGATAATTACAAATAAATATTCGCATTCCCGTATTAATTAGTTTTTTTTTTTTAAGGAAAAGAAAAAAAAAGAGTACCAACATTACACGGTATTCCCAGGTGGTCACCCATCCAAGTACTAACCGTGCCCAACGTTGCTTGACTTCAGTGATCGGACGAGTACTGGTTTTTTCAACGAGGTATGAACGTTGGATAGATAATACTGCTAAGTAGTACGGTATTAGTAATACGGTAATTTTAAGATTTGTTATATATGTTATATGCGTGTGTGTTATATTTTACAATTCAAATTAAATATAATCAATAAAATGAGTATGTACTCTAATAATTGTATATATTTATACATCTCGATTAAATTTTCTAAATGTCTTATCCTATTAATTGATTTTTCCACATGTTTTGCCATGCATATATTTATATATTTTAATAATTCTCTAGAAAACGCTGACACTAAAATAACTTATCTCTTTCGCTCGATCAGCGCCGAACACGAGGTTGCAGAGCATCTCTAGGTATACAAGTTCTATGATTTGTGCAAATTTGAGTAAACCTTTAAACTCAGGTAAACGATATTTTAATGTAAATACTCCTTTTCTTGACGCAGTATCCAATATGGCGCGATAGTGTGGATACGCGACACGCGACGCTTGCGTTCCATCTGCGATCGGACTACAATGATTAAAATAGTTTGTATGTATTATTATCGGTTTTGATATTTCGGCAGATGCGTAGGTTATCCGGTGATCTCGGATGAACACTGGTGTTTTTTGTAGCTAAAAGAAATTTGTCGTTTGAGTATCGATCGCTTCCTAATGGTTAGCACGAGTGAAACCACATCGCTTCTAACCTCTTTAAATGAGTTCTATTGATATTTTTATATACGTTTATATAAAAGCGATAGAATATTTATATTTAACAATTCTATGAATGTGCTCAGTGAATGATATTGGATGACAAAAAAGAGATATATTAAATCTAATTTTATATCGAGAGAGTATTGTTTAACATAATCTTGTTTTTAAATACCGCATTGACTCTAACCTAATTAAACGTATCCTTACATTTTGAAATGACTATTGTCCTCTTCATAAAAGTGTAAACGCGATAAATGAGTGCTCCTGAAGAATCATTGAATGATCAGGATCCTGATTATGTTTCCGCAATTTCCGACGAGCAAGTTCAACAGAAAATTTACGAGGAAAATGGTAAGTATATTAATTTTACACCATTCAATAATAGATTAATAAATATAATTGAATAAATATAATTGAGATAAATTAAAAATATTTAATTTTTAATGAATTTATGAAATGTTTATATTATAATATATGCGTCATAGTAATTAAATCTAAGTAATACTTTTTTTTTCTGTATTAGCAAGAAACACTACTGCAAGAAAAATAACTGCGATAGTGGAGAAGGAATTTGCACGGGAAATTGATTCAAAGGAGAAGGAAATTTTGCAAATACAAGAAAGATTGCATAAAGCTCTGAAGAGTTTTCATCTCTTGCGTTATGTCATAATTACTAATTTTTACAATCGCAAACAGTGTCAAATTCCTCAAGTTGTAGAAACCACGAAACAAACGAGAATTCATCCTGCAGTCAAATCATTACTCGGAAAAAGTCCTAAGTCTGTTCATTGTACCGATCTTGCAGTGCCATCGACATCTACAGATCCTCGATTCTCGTGCAATGATGAATCTCTTGAATCATACGCACGAACTACAGCGGATAGCGCACTTAAAACCGAAGAAAACGCGGATAAACATGATGCTGCATTGCAAGGTGAAAAAAGGAAACTGCCAGACGAAGAATCTCGACCTCGCAAAGTGCCTCGTTACATACCACCAAAGAGCAGCATGCCAGCGAAGACGGGTCCATCGCGCGGCAATAGCCACAAAGTCCGTAAACGTATTATTATCGGTAACATATCCAAGTGGATCCCACCGGATTGGCGAGAAGATGCATCTAGTCATAAATGGACGATATACGTGCGCAGTGATAAAGATGAAAGTGCCAACATCAGTACTTTCGTCAGTAAGGTGAGGTTTTTCCTGCACCCTAGTTATCGTCCAAATGATGTTGTTGAGATCACATCATATCCGTTTCACCTGTCCAGACGTGGATGGGGCGAGTTTCCTGTAAGAGTACAGTTACACTTCAAAAATGCCCTTGATAAACCCATAGACATTATTCACCATCTGAAATTGGATCGCACCTACACAGGATTACAAACACTGGGCTCGGAGACTCTGGTCGACATATGGATTCATACGGCAGAGACACGTAATTTTGAGCAGAATAATAGCAATGAATCTGTTGAATCTTCCTCTAATAATGCATCTATAAAAATAGAACCTAACAATGACAGTTTCGAATTTATTTATAAACAATCTACAGCGAAATCTATGGAAACTTTACAGATGAGCACTTTCAAAGAAATTCGAGTGAAGGAAGAAATAATTAATTTGGAAGTACACGAACAGTCTAATCTATCATTGGATTCAATCAAGAAATTGAAAAATGTCGGAGTGAAAGTTGAATCTAACGATGCAACCATTAATATATTCAACAACGAGAATAAACCGAATCTAGATGAAATATGTTATTACATTAAACATGATCATAATTATGTGGACGGACAGTATTTTAATTCTAATCATTATACCGAAAAAGAAGGAAATATAACTATAGAACACTTTCTGGAAAGTGACTGCGTTCCCGCAATCAATTCATCAGTAATTGACGATAAGAAAGAGAAACTTGACAATGTACAAATTATATCGCATAAATTTAACGATGATATTCAGTCTTCCAATAATTGCTTGTCTCTCTCAAATGCAGCGAAAAATGATTCACAAGTGAACACATTTCAAGGGAGAAATAGTCAAAAGAATTTATCATCGCTCGATGCAAATAAATTTTTACATGCGAGAAACTCGAAAAACAGCGATACCTGTAAAACTTCAGAAAATATCATGACTAAAGACACACCAATTATGGGTAACGGCTTTTGCAAATCGCCCGATCGGTTTAACAGCTTGCAGAAAACCATGAGTTTCTCGAATATTACTAATTCGCATTTAAAACCTCTACAAATCTCCATACCATCACCGAATATATTTGCGTCGTCGACCAATAAGCGTATGCTTCTTTTGAAGGACACGAAATCGATTCCGGTGGACGTGACAAATATTCTTGCATCGAAATCAACTGAAAACTCGAGAAAGCTCATTGATGGCGACGTAAAACTTTCTATCTCAAGAGACGGTAATATTGCGAAATTGAACGTTCGCATTCCTCAAACCGTGAGCATCCTGAAGAAGCCACCCAACGCTAAGATGAACGCGCGACACGAGGGCACTGTTAGCGACAATAAGAAGCCTGCTGTACTTATGTTGAAAAACACCAACAATCTTCTGCTGAATATTAACGAGAATGTACCGATCCTGAAGATAGCAGACTCGCACGATCCGCGATATAATTACAGTCTTGCCGAGGCATCGAAAGGCATTTCTTCGACCGACAAGCAGGAAATCATGCCATACGTAAGATCGGAGGACAAGACAGTGACGCAGCGAGTAAAAATCACGTTGGGCAAGGACAAATACAAGATACAAAGCAAGAGAGAGTTGTATGAGGCGACTCTGCGCTCGATCGACACTGCGAATATCGTCGACACGGAAGAGCTGATACGATTTATCATACGTCGATTGCCGATCGTCACGCGGGATGCCCGTGATCCCGAATACAAATGGATGCATCCCTACGCGTGTTGCAGCGAGAAGGAATACTTCGCTCACAACGTTGGCAAACAACGTGCCCTGGAGTGGTATCGTGCCAAGACAATCAGGTGCTTCCTGCGAACGAAAATGGTCCCGTCTGATCGACTATGGAGCATCAAGGAAATCATGCTGTGGGCGAGATTGCACGGATACACGCCAAGTCGGAACGCTTCCGGCATATCGGAAGCGGTTACGATGAGCGATACGAAAAAGCTACCTGACACTACAATACCCACCGCAGTCCCAGCCACATATACGGAATCAATTGCGTTGCAAAAGTGGCTGCAAACATGCCAGGAAGAATCTAGTCAGTTGAGGCATGCTTGTATCGAAGACGAAGAGATCGATGTCGAGAGTGTCGACGAGAGCTCGTGTAAAATTACGATTGATCGGAGAAAAAACGATAATAATCGAAATAGCGATTCTTCAACCGGTTCTAAGTTGATACCGCTTGAACTTGATGAAAGTTTGTTGCCATTCCACAATTTCGTCTGCGATACCGCGCGAGATATCGGTATCAAGATCGGACCAGAAGAGATTATTCCTGGTGTTTTATATAGTGCAGCTAGTCGCGTAATGATGCGGGTAAAGATTATTTCTTATACAAATTATGCTCATTTTGTAATGCTAAGTTATAAAATGAATGTTATGTTGTCACTATTAAAATAATGTCTTTCCAGGTTGTCGAATGTTTCGTGGAGGATCTAACTCGAACATCGTTGGCAAAAGCTTGGGAAAGAAATAGCGGAAATGAGTAATTATCCCTTTTTGTATATCTTGTTATATGATATTACATGGTACTATATTATCCTTGTACTTTGCACATTCTTTTTTCGATATGTCGCAGATGTCCCAAGGTTATTAAGCTGAACGATGTCCATAATGCTCTTACAAGTCGAGAGGAATTCGACATTTTCACGAACGAAGGTCTGGGTTCGATGCAACAATCGAATACAAAGGAATCGTCTAGCTTGTGACGATATAAACGTTAGCGAGCAAGCAATCGTCTAGTTATAGACCGGGCTATAGAATACAACGAATCGATGAGTGCAGCATTTTGTCGAATACAGAATACATTTGCAGAGGGAAGATAGATTAGATGCACGCGAACTTACACGAATGCGTGACAAAACAATTAGAGATATTTAGCTCGTCTCAATCCCAACCAACTGGAATCTTATGATGTTCTATCTCGCGTTGCAGCCATTCGCGGACCGGCTCGTAATAGGCTAAGAGCGGCTCCACACGATACTTGGAATATCCCGTTATCGCGCGTAACGCGTGTCTCCAGTCCACGCTACTTCCAAGTTTCATCGTCGACCTGGAAGTAAAGTAAGCTAAGACCGCTTTTTTACATACATTCATTTTTTATCACGTTCTCCACTGGAATAAAATTAGAAAAATTTTTTTTTACTACTTTTTTTGAAAAGAAGCAGAATTAAAGTTATCATTTTGTGTAAAAATTGATGTAAGAATTTACCGACCTCAAGAACTTTCCCGCATCCTTCGATCTATAAATGTCGCATGTGTGAAGAGGTAAATCAAACGCCGTGGAACCAATTCTCAGACCCAAGGATGCTTCGCACATTCCTTGGAATAATTGAATTTGCAAGAAGTTTCCCAGAAAATATCTATTAATATTAAGTCATTTATTGATGTCATTATGTACGTTTCTTACCAATTCACTCTAACTTACCCAGCATAAGGTATATTATGAGCGACATGAAATTTTGCCATAGGATCAAAAAATTTCTCGGATCTCCGCGATGGCGGCACGACGCCCATATATCGACGATGCAAAGTCCACCAGAATGTGTTGTATCTCGAAGGTTTCGTCCTGCCGGCGAAGACAGACCATCTCCATTTTTCTATTATTAATCCGCTAGACAGTTGCGGTATTTTAAGCAGAGCTTGTCTTAGGAGGATAGCTATTTCTAATGAATTCTGCGAACGCGAATTGGTCTCGGATGAATTGACGAATGATGCAAATGCGTTGCGTATTAATCCCAGACGCCGCATGTGTCGAAAGGAAATTGCACCGTACGAAATGGCATCTCCTATCGATTCATGGAAAGCGCTATTGATTCCATTCTAAACAACAAATAATTGGTTTTATATATTGGTTATATATATATATATTTGAGAGTCGAGGAAGTTTTTCATACCTTAAAAAATGATGACTGATTCTGATACGCCATATAATATTGTATATGACCAATTTCATGATAAATAACATTAAAATCTTCTGGTTTTGTCTCTAAACATGCGTTAATTCTAAAATGAAACGCAATTAATTAATTGCGTTAATTTTATAACATTTATTTATTTATATCGTAGAAATACCTGAAATCATTTCTATTGTACATGTTGACAGCAGTTGCATGACAGCTGGATCTCTTACTCATTTCTTGTTCGAAAACAGAGTTTTTCCAAAATTCTGGCGTCAAGGACGGAAATCCGAGAGACACGTAAAAATCATCTGCATTTTTTATCATTTTAATGACATTATAATTTTCTTGTATCATCGAATTCGTCAAGTTTGGCATGATCGCGGTGTAATTTGGAAATACCACGTCGATCAACGCTTCCCAACTTTGCGACCACAAGTTACCTGTAAGAATATAGCGATCGGTTTAAAAAATGATGCGTCCGTTCTCTTTTAATTGACAAAATTCGCTTCACCTAACAAATGAGCGGGAATTGGCTGGAACATATCAACAACGTCGGGATACAATTTCGCAAGTCGAAATCTCACGACAGCGTGAAGAAGACGATATAATGGCTCGACTCGTTGATACATTTCTTTGAACATTCTCTCCAAATCTGGAATCTCGAACTCTTCCCTCCAATATTCTCCGATATCAACGTAGCCTGGCATATACAGTAAGATTCAATTATTATTAAAAATAAGATTTTATCCTTTCTATTGTCCTACTTTTTTTTGTTTTAAATTTTCAAATATTGTTTTAAGAGGGAAATCAATTTTTTCATTGTTTAATTTTTTACGTTTTGCTTCGTAAATTGGCTATTGCAACTTTGAAGTTACAGGAAAGAGATCCATTTCCATTTTACATATTTTTGAAAAAAAAATTTATTATTTATCTTTGCTTTATTTACATTTACTTACTTATTTTCATATTTAATTATACAACAATTTAATTTTTAATGTATATATACGTATATATATCGATTTTTAAAATTTAAATATTGTATATTATACCATTGTTTCGTGCAGCAGTATTTTGAAGATCAACTAATTGTCTAAAAAATTCCTTTGTATGACTCATGCGATTTCTCCAAGCAGTCCAAATCCAACGTAATTCTTTTTCATTCCTAAATAAATATAGATATTCAGTTACTCCACAAAAGCCATAACAATCTACAAAATATATTTATTTAATAATTTAGATAATATATTGAAATATACCTTGAAGTAGCCATTAATTTTGTCACGTCCAATTCATCATTATAACACTTCCGTTTATAGTTTTCAATTTTGCAAATCTGTGCAGAGTCATATGTGGACGATAAGAATTCGTTGATAACAGCAATCTTTCTGTAATAAGCGAAAGGTTGATTTTATAAGCACGAAAAAAGGATGCGAAATAAAAATATATTTAAATTTAACGAAATTTGAATATTTCTCAATTTATATTAATAAAAGAACTTTAATTGTCAGGATCTTCATCATACCTTGCCATTTCATTGGTATATTTTGGTCCTTTGCACAAAAAGCGCAGCAACTTTTGATTTACAGATACGCCATTATTTCGAAGATCCATAAATTTTGCGCACCATTCGTTTCTCCAATTTAGCTTCAATTGGACAAATCGCATATACATTTCTGGCGGTACGATCGAACGATTTTTGAGGATTTGCCACTCTAAATTAGCGATCGCTCGATTCAGCAATTCAAACCCGTTGTTGATCCGATCGAGTATTCCGTAATCAATCTCTTGCACTATATGTGACAAATTACAAATTATTATCAATTTCATAAGAACTATAAATTAACACGTAATTGACTAAATCAAGCAATTGTGAATCATTTTAATATCTATTTAATATATTTGAAAAAATCCAAATATTTTTATAAGCGATATAACTCGTATCGAGAATAGCACGACTAATCGAGAAATGTAATTTTTAATCAAAACACTTTTCTAACGTTATCACTGTACTTTTTGAGACAGCATCGCTGATATGAAGAACGATGCATGCGGCGAGACAAAGAAAAAACTTATTTCGCGAACACTTTCTCGAATCAGTTGTCATATTACAGTACGATAACGTCGCATTATCGGAAAGAATTAATCCTTTCGTGAACGAGCGAGAGCCTTTATCTCATCCGCGTATTCGAAGACCAATTGATGTTTTCTGTTCGCATTTGCGCCGTTCTTCGTGTTTTTTCTAGGTAACAGGAGATATATATCTATTTAATTGAGAAACCTACGCGTTGTTTATTCTACGTCGGCAAATTGCTTTTTATTACAATCCCCAGTTTCTGGTTTTAATCATCAGCCCATCCTATCGAAAGGAAAATACTCTGTATCTTATTTATTTTCCTATTCTGAGAAAATGAGATTTCGAGCGCTTTCTTATGAAAGATACGACATATATATATAATGAAGAAGTATGTATGCGCGAATTGTATATTTAAAAAATATATTAAAGGGTATCACACACATATAACAAAACATACATTTTTTATATTAGAAAAATTATAACAAAACATACATTTTTTTATATTAGAAAAATTATATAATTCTCTAAAGTCTATAAGTAACCATAAGAAACATTATATATAATTAAATAATATTAATATATATTATGATTCTCTTAACTAGTATTATGCAATCGACATATGTAAACGTATCACGTTCATATTTTGCGGTCCTGTGAACGTCATACATATATTTTAAGATGCCGGACGGAAGCGGACTCGCCTAATCTTGGTTGCGTTCGAAAATCCTACTCGTAAGGTAAAGTAGCGTTTAATTAACGAATCAGGACAAGAGAAGTAAAGATTTCTTTGTTCTAATTGGTCAATTCAATGCTACCCTACCTTACGAATAAGATTTTCGAACGCATCCCCTAACCTCGCAGTCACGTGACCGTTGCATCTGTCATGGCTGGCCATGGCTGTCAGATTATTGATATGACAGAAAAGACGTCAAGTTCTTGAACGGATTATAAACAAGCTGGATCGGTGTGCAGTTGTGCACCGCACACCGTTGCCCCGAATCTGATCCTGCGGGACTTGTTGTTACACCCTTTATGTACACGCAAACGATCAAGATGCCGGTCCAGAAAGATTCGAATATCGTAAAAATCGCCGTTCAAATGACTGACCAAGTGCCGCAGCTCATAGAATTCAATCAGAAGCAACCTTTGGCCGGTATTATTCAGGTATAACTAATTTTAATCACAATCTTTTTTATCGTAGTTTCATAATTATACAACACTTGCATATATTTCATATATATATATACATGTATTAATTAATATTGTATTTTAATTACAGGAATTGTGTAACGGATGGGATTTATCTGACGCGGAATCGTACTCGTTACAATTTTCAGAAAGCAACAATCAGAATTATATTACGGAGAAAAATAGGAACGAGGTGAAAAATGGCAGTATTCTCAGATTAGAGTTTTCGCCATCGAAAACAGCGAATGATATTTTGGCTAAGCTCAATAATGGGACAACAGAAGAAAAAGTAATAGCTTTGCAGAAGCTGAGTACGCTTAGTATAGACATGACTTTTGCATTAGAATTCATAAACAAGAAAGGATTGGCATTAATCATCTCACAAGTATGAAACTTTTTACATATAAATATATGATTATGTCATGGATAATACAAGTTTCTTATGTAATGTTACAATCGCCAATTATTAAATCTTTAGGTGGAAGGTGGAAAGTACAAGGGAAGTGCACTTGCATTTTCTCTTCAGTCATTTGTGGAGTTGATGGATCATGGAATTGTGTCATGGGATATATTGGAAACACCATTTATTAATAAAGTAGCAAGTTATGTGAATAATCAATCAGTAACTCAGGACACCAATGTAGTGGAAGCTTCTCTAAGTATTTTAGAGAATATAGTCCTGAATTCAACAGGAAAATATGGACAAGTGGAGAAGGAAGTTACTTTTCCCAATCTTGTAATGCATTTGCAATGCATGAATGCGCAAATTCAACAAAACGCGATAGCTTTAATAAATGCACTGTTTTTGAAAGCTGATTTATACAAGAGACGAGCAGTTTCTGCCACATTACAATCCAAACAAGTCAGAAATGTATTCTTGACAAATGTTATTCAATCTACTGGACAGGTATATAATTAATAAAATATTAATAGACTTGCACTTTTCTTTATATATCTTTCTCTTTATATTTTGTGTATAATTAATTTGGAAAAATTGAAATAATTTGTCCAAGCTCATTAGGTTCTGAAACAAGTTGTTTATTTCTATGCCTGATTTTCAAAATAAATTTTGTTTTGGATCAAAACTTTGTTTACATTGATAAACGTACATATTGTATTTTAAATACCAAGCCAAAACAGAAACATCTGCTTAAACGTATTGCAATTTCCAATATTCAGTCTATTTGCAATTACATATTATTTTTTCCAATGTATTTTTTTATTGTTTTTGTACTTTTCCAGGTCGGAGCGGAAATGGCGCATCAACTCTATGTGTTGCAGACGCTAATGCTAAGTCTTTTAGAACAACGAATGATGGCGAAAATGGATCCGCAGGATCAGGATGCACATGATAAGATTAAGGAACTTCGAAAAATCGCCTTTGATACAGAAGGAACGACTAGCGGGGATATAACTGCTCGCAAGCAGGGGCTTTTTGCCAAGGATTATAAAAAGTTGGGTTTTAAATACGACATCAATCCAGCTCTTGATTTTACTGAAACACCACCGGGTATGCTCGCCCTTGATTGTATGGTGTACTTCGCGCGTAATCATACCGAAGCATATACGAAAGTTGTTCTTGAGAATTCATGCAGAGCAGACGAGCACGAATGTCCTTTTGGTCGAACAAGTGTAGAACTTGTTAAATTACTATGCGAGGTAAGATATGTATTTTTATAAGAGAATTTATAAATTTAATATTGTGCATGATATATAAAATGAAGGAATATTTTTTTAATTAGGTGTTACGCATTGGTGAAGCACCCAGTGAACAAGGTCAATCTTATCACCCAATGTTCTTTACACACGATCACCCCTTCGAAGAGTTTTATTGTGTCTGCATAGTTTTGCTAAATAAGACGTGGAAGGAAATGAGAGCGACCACAGAAGATTTTGTCAAAGTCTTTTCTGTTGTACGCGAGCAAATTACTAGGGCGCTTCAGTGCAAACCTACAGGACTGGATAAGTTTAAAAATAAGTTACAGCAGCTCACTTATTCCACAATCACAAATCTTTGGCAGCAGGAGAGAACAAGCCGAGAGGAATGGGAGAGCCACGCGAGGCCGATCGTTGAACTTAGAGAACAGATTACACCTGAAATCTTAGAGTTAATTCAACAACAGCGATTAGGATTTTTGGTACAGGGCACTAGATTTATGAAATATAGTGCCAGAGGACAAGTGAGTAGTACATTTTGATTGGATATGTTTGATGTTAGATACGTGATGCGCGATTTATAAAATTTTTAACAAAATTCTCGATGTTTTCAGCGGATTAAAGATAAATTTTGGTATGTCCGCTTGTCGCCAAATCATAAAGTCTTCCATTACGGAGATTGCGACGAGAAGTCGGTGCCAACAATAGACGAACTTCCTACGAAATTAGCGGTGGTCGAGATTCGAGGATTGCTAACCGGCAGGGATTGTCCACACATGAAAGATTTGCAGAGACGGAAAACTACACACCAGTTGGCGTTTTCCTTGGCCTTGGATTCTGTCGAAGTATCTAGTCTCGATTTTGTTGCTCCCGATGAACAAGTCTTCGATTATTGGACTGATGGCATTAATGCTTTGCTCGGTAAGTTGCAAATTCAATTTACATTTATTATTAACATTATGTACATGAAGATAATTTTTTATTTTTGTTTCTTTACTTTTGTTCAGGAAACAGAATGACCAGTAAGGAGGCTGAAAATGACTTGGAGACTTTATTATCCATGGATATCAAGTTACGGCTTCTAGATGCCGAAGGAATTGATATTCCGCAAGATCCACCTCCGATCCCCGAACCGCCGCCAAATTATGACTTCTGTTACGAACTCAAGTAAAAATCGTAAGTCATTTTCCTCTATATAGAGCTGACATCACTGTTATATTGACTTAATAGACATATTGGTCATTTTGATTATTATACATTTTTTATTTCTTTTTATAATTTCGAATTTTACTATTATGATATAGATCTAGATTTTTAAGCTATAATTGTTTGTCACATGTTTTAATCGTACAGGAAACAGCAATACATCTTGCCAAAGAAATATTTTAAATTTTATATAAACAGATATTATACATATATTCCGTTTTTAGAAATTATTTATAGAAATTAAATTATTGCAAATGGAAATTTTTTATAGAATGACACTACACAATCATGACGATCTTTTTATTAACCTCTAATAGTTTTAATAGCGCAAAATCATGATATAATATTTTATATAGTAAGATTTTTTATTTATTTAATTATACTATTAATATTTTATACCAATCTGTATGAGATATATTACAAAAACTATATACAATGTAATAAATAAAGCGAATTTCAATTTTACAGATAATTTATTTAAATTTTAACTTTTATAAAATTTTTTACTACGTTTCTGCAAATTGCTTCCTGGCAGCAGAATGTAGCGTAATATAATATAAACTATGAGAGATGTGAATCTTTTATAAGTGACAATAATATATTTTATGTGCAAATGTACATGTGTAATTTGAAAAAATAATATATCATTATATATGTAGCACTTGTGACGCTTCTCTGTGCGAGAGAGTGCGTGACATAAATTAATCAAAGACTCGTATGGTCTTTATGTAACATTATATAACATCCTCCGAAAGAATATGATAATGTTGGGGATCATTTATTTGATGATCCGGCGGGCAGAGGAAAAACTCGATGAAATTAAGCACAGGCCCTCGACTAAAAGGATTTAAGTATTTGCCTCTCTTGTCTCTTAAGTACGAGTATCTCTTGTAATTGAACATTTCATTGGTAGTTAAATTCATACAAGCATGTAAAACCTGTTAAGAAGAAAGGAATATAGAAAAAATTGATATGCCAATGTGATAGCAATGTAAGCATCGCAAATATCGCATTTACCGAAGTGCATGTTAGAATCCAGCCGAGTCCACAAAAGACGAGAGCTTCTAATACGCCAAGAACATACAGCAATTGAATTCCCTCGATTGCGATACAGTAACATGCGAAATATAAGGTGAAAGAGCAATTTATCGCCACGCACATAACGAACAGGAAGAACCACATTCTGAAAACAAGTAGAATATGTTACAGAGAATTGAAAATTCTCTTTAATTGTCATTTTGACATATACAAACGAGTATAATTTGTATTGATTGTATACCTGTTCCTCAGGCCGACGCAATTGTATATAAACGGACAGTGATGATCGAAATATGTGACGCATCTGTTGCAGATTCTACAGTGTTTAGCCCGGAGGGGTCTGAAACATCTACAGCTGTGACATAATCGCGATAATAAAACGTTGCGCTTCTTCCACTTATCGAAATATGGAATCTGAAACGACGCGAAAAATTTAAATCGACAATATTAAATATGATCGCTTTATAGGTACTATGCATTGCACCTGTTTTATCGCCCTATAATAGGTGTCACTGTTCTGCGGTACGTAACCAGGATCTCTTCTGTTAGCCACAATCCAGGAAATCCACATGAGGATGTTCCAGTAAATGAAACAGTAATGGCTGCCACGCAAAAGATTCCACGTTAACGGAATGCATTTTAACAGATACATCGGGTATCCCCAAAGCAGGACGGATATCATGAACAGTAGCAACGGTCCCTTGCTGTTGCCCGCTCCGCCAAACAGCAATGCCCTTGAGAAAGCAAACATGCAAATTATTCACAAGGTTTCGTAAGTGATTTAACTTTTCGATTTCCAAATATTACATTAAATATGCAGACCATAGTTCGTTGATGGGCGGTATCCATCTAGCTCGGCGCTTTTGTTCCGCCTGCAGAATGCGAACAATCTCCAAATGGCGGTGACTCTTGGCCAGTTGCAACGGTGTCTTGCCGTTTTTATCGCGCGGCTCGAGCTCGATTTTGCTTTTCTCGCAGAGAATCCGGACACAGCTGACGTTGCCGGATAAGCAGGCCAAATGAAGCGGTGTCGAGCCAAAGTAATCGGGCTTCTGCAGATCCACGCCGCTGTATATCAATAGCTTGATTAGCTCGGCATGGCCCTTGTATGCGGCCCAGTGCAATGCGGTGTCGCCGTTTATGTCCGTCAAATGTCCTTGCGCATTGGATCCCAGCAAGAAAGCGGCCGTCGCGAATTTGCCAAACATACAAGCGGTCATTAGAGGCGTCAGACCCTTAAAATCAGCTGTGTTGACCGCGACTCCGGCCTGAAAAAAAAGCTTTCTCGTGACTCTTCTTTTGCTTTATCTTTGAAATTTTTCCACTTTTTTATACCTTCAATAGCAATTGCACTATCGCGCTATGACCTTTTCGGCAGGCCCAATGTATCGGTCTAGGTCCTTGCGTACCGAGACATGGTAGATCGACGGGACCGTTTCGTTCTATCAAATATCTCATGACCTGAGAAATTTTATATCCATTAAATACTCTAATAATTTTGAAAAATAATGAGAATCTTTCCTTAGAAACTAACTTCAATATTGCCATCTAAGGCAGCCCAATGAGCAGGTGTATATCCCCATTCATCCCTCGCGCTGAGCACGTTTAACCCGTTCCTTTCCACCAATTCCTCGACCGCTTCGATTTCACTATAATAACAATGTTTTTTTTTCTTCGTTTCTCCATTATCTTTTTCTCGAATTCTTTAGATTTAATTATTTAATTATTTTTTTAGCTTTTCAGCATAATTTTATTCTCTCTTTCTAAAGTTAAAGTATATGATCTAACCCGGCTCTGAGCAGTTCAAAGATTTGCTTGGTCTCGTTGGTGGGACTTTGACCAGTCGCGGCCTCGTCGGCGTAGACATTGTCATCGGGACGGTTCCTCTGTCGCGAGCTCTTGCCCGAGCCATGATTCTGGTGGCCGGATATCAGATTGTTCGGTAGATGCCCGACCATGTCGGGATCGGGGCTTAGTTCCCATACGGATCGTGCCGCACCGGGCCCTGCCACAGGGCTCACAGGATACACCTATAAGATAAACATATAAGATCATGCAAGAGATTAAAATCTTGTCGTAAGTAGGACAAAAAAATACGCACACATAGCAAATTAAAATACAATAAAAATAAATAAATTAAATTAATATTAATATTAATTATAATATTAACATTAATTTAATAAACTAAATTAATATTAAATGATAATATATATCTTTTTAATAATATATTTAACTATTTACAGCGTATATTACCAAACATAATATCCACGCAATTCTTGTTTATTTTATGTTTATTTCTTCTTGCGTAATTTTTAATATTCAACCTTGCTACTTAACATTGAAATTCTTGCTACTTTTACAGTGAATAATTGTGATAAAAACTATTATTTGTAATTTAAAAAAGCATTTTTTTACCTTGCACAGCGTCGCGAGTTCTGTATTTATACGCTCGTGTTCGGAAGGCGTTCTGAAGGATGCACCCTGCGTGGCGATCGCTCCGACACCCTCCGGGACGGTTAGTCACAAGGAGACGTTGGGTCCGACCATATCCTCGGGGATTCACTTCCGGGCAACGCAGCTTTCCCTCCGGGTTTGAAAATCCTGCGTTGGACTCCTACGAACGAGAACGGTGGCAAAGATTTACACAACGTACGACGTCCGCATTTCTGAGAATACCGTCGACAATCACCGCACACGGTGTTTTGCGCATTCGAATCGATAACGCGGCAACGGAAAAGGGTGTCAATTGGACACAATGCTGATTGGCCAGTTGAAAATAAGGCCTTTTGATTGGTCAATCATTCTGGTTTCCGTAAGCATTGGTCGATATAAGCGATTGTGTCCAATCGCACTGTGTCTAAATGAACCTCTCCCGACAGAAGAAACGCTTGCGTGCGAGAAATTAGAACGTCGCCAGCGCGCACGTTTATAATTATTCTAATTAACTGATTGAAGATTCCGAGAATCTCATTGATTCTCAAACAGAGAAAACTCAAATAGAGGACGTTTAAAATAATTAAAATAATTTTACGATGGAAAATTAAAAAATACCTTGTTCGATTGATATCGCGAATCTCAAATAACACAGGTTTAATTTATATGGTTTTATCTTATATCACAACCAGATATTATTAGATATCGCAGTTGATTTGACTTGGATTTTGATCGTACATTTATATATTATTGCTTTTTATTTCATTTTTTATATTTGTATGATGCGGCATAGACATCATAAATATATATATATA